GCAATGTACAGTATTATACAAAATTGAGAATACCGCGTTTACCAATCACGTGACATATTAATTAAGAGAAATAGTTGATTAAATCTATTACAATTCGTGAAATCTGAAAACTCATTTACGTTTGGTGTTACCAAGCCAAGATTAAGTCGCAGTCAACCATTTTGGGCGTTAAACAAGGTTTTTGTCATTAGTTTCCAAGTTCTTTTTGTGCTAGTTTAGCAAAAACGTCGGTTAATTTTTCTAGAACTATGAATTTTTGAACTGACCATATGGCGTTAGTTGATTAGCAATTAAATGACCAAATTAACGATACTTTTCCCTCGTTTTAAAGACGAATAAGTTTATATGTTTCTAGCATAAACATATAGAACCCTAAACATAGAGACTAAAAAGTTAAAGACTAGAAAAGTCGCTAAGCAACGAAAGAGAAACACATGGTTTAGAATTAGAATTGAAGCAAAAGTTAATTTACACTTTGAATTTATACTTTCACGTTTTCATAACATTTGAAATGTAACAAAATAAAATTCATGTAAACAAACTTTTTGCTACAAAAAAAAACATTGAATGAGAACTGAAAGTAACTCATACAGGTACAATAACATGACATCTTGACATAATTTAGTTACTAAGAACTGACCGAGACTCATACTCCTAACATGAAAAATAAAACTAAAATGATTAAAAAGTAAAATGCTACAAAAAAATGAAAGTAATATACAACAAACAGTTAATGAGAAACTAAATTTGGGCTAAAACTGAGACTGAATCAGGTCCTACATCTCTGTTTCTAATTCTCAAGGCTCTATTTCTTCAAAAACTTGGTACAGCCTGTGGGGACTGAACAGGCTGGTTCAAACCGGTTGAGCTGTCATCGGTCGGCTCTTTCTTCCGCCTCATCTCTATGACTTTGCGGTGGTGGTTGGAGTGAAGCTCGCTCGAAAATGTCGGGCTACAAGCCGGTCTGTATTCGGGTAATAACCGACCCGACTTATACCTGACACCGCACGCATTGCAAAGCGTCTTGGCTCCCTTAGGTCCTGCTCTCCACTGCGGAGTCTTCTGAACGCCACAGTGACTGCACCGTCGCTGCGGCTGCTGAGACTGAAACTTACCGCTGAAAACAGACTCTGCTGACCTTTTCTTGTGCTTCTTGGGAACTGGAGGTTTCTCTGACGTGAAGTCTGGCTCGAGAAGCTCAGCACCGGAGAACCAGGGGCTTGAGAGACCCGAGGAGGAGGAAGAGGAGGAGGTGGAGCTTGACGAAGAAGGGCCTGAAGAGCCAAGCGACCAGGCTTTGACTCCATTCCGGTTTCTTCTGCTACGGACTTTGGCTGGAAGAGGGGACTTGAAACAAGACTCTTCTGAGGCAGGAGTCACTGGGTGTTTCCGGTCACCGGTTAACCACGCTGGTTTTTGAACCGGTGTGCCGGTGAGATTAGGAGCCGAGTATTCCGTGAAGGAGTCGTCAACGAAATTTGATAGCCACTCTAGGTCCTCTAATTCATCCATCTAATAACAACAAAAATTAAAAAGAAAATATCAGAGACAAATATTAAAATTATTATCTCTCTAATTTGGTTTAAGGATTTTTTAAAAATAAAAATTACCGGTACGGGGAGTTGGTTTGAAGGGAGAGAACCAAACTCGTTGCTTCGGGCAAGTACTTCTCCGACGTCGTTTGGTTGCTCGGAGGAAACACAGAGCAAACCCTCTTGTTGAGCCTTGGGTTCAGTCTCTTCTTCCTCGACGAAAACGTCGTCGTTTGACAAGTCAAGTAAGTCGTCTACGGAGAAATCTTCGGAAGAAAAGTCATTTTGAACGGTTGGGACGGCGAGAAACTCTTCGTAAACCGGAACAGACGTTTTGAAAGCCATCTCTCGTCTGATACTGCTCTTCAAGCCAGCTTCGATACGTTCCATTTTCTACAAGAAAATAAAAACTTTAGCAAACATGAAAAACGTAAACGTACCCAAAAAAACGTTACTTTCATTCACAAAGCAAACGTAGGAAACAAAAATCAAATTGTTATTCAGTAACGAGATGGAAAGCCCTAACCACTTCTCCTAATTTACTTAAAAGTAGACAGATATTAAAAAGTACCTAAGAGAGAGAGATAGGGAGAGGGTTCTGAGAAGACGAGAGACGAATGAGCGGTGTGGAGAGAGGAAGAAGAAGATGAAGAAAGATAATAAAAGAGAGAAAGTAATAACATTTACTCAGTTTTTTATAAAACCTTTTTTAGGTTATATAAAAAATGACAGTTTTTTTTTTCTTATTTGCGCTCATCTCGGGAATTACTTTCCTTCCCGCTCAGTGGTTTTGATTTTGCACTAATTAGTTAACATAAACAAAAAAATTAAAAGTTAAATGTGTCCATTATTAAATTAATAGTGAGGGGAAATGACAAGAATAACCTTAAAAAGCAATAATGAAGAAAAAGCATGTCTTCGGAGTAAAGGTTAAGTGAGAGAACTGAAATGATGCAGACAAATGGCGGGCCAGCTTTTGTCCTTACCACGAGAAAATGATTCTCTCTCTTTTCTCATTATCCTTGAGACTAAACCAACAAATAAAAACTAGATCTTGACCCGCGCACCGGCGCGGATTTAACTTAATTTGGAAAAGCATAATATATTCATAAGTCATCGGTTATTACCGTATTTCAAAAACTATGATCGTATTGAATGTAATAGGACTGGGGTTTGATTTCGGGTCAACTTTTGTTGGATTCTTTATGTTCGTAGTTTTTTTAATTTTACAGATATAAGATCTGTTCTATTATCTATATAAATTGATTTGCGTCCGGTTCGATTCTTTTGGTTTGAGCTGAGTTTGGTAATAATTATAATAACCGACTAATATCAGATAAATTTTTGGTTCCAATATGATAACGGTTTGGTTACGATTTCTAGGATTAATTTTAGATTAATCGGGGAAAAACTGATTTTGGGGGGGGGGGATAGGTGTTTCGGATAAATATCCAGTTACGAAAACAAAATTTTAATATTTTAGTTAAAACTATTCAAATATTTTGTGTCTTTATGATAATTTGAATAATGTAAAATATTTTAGATAAAATATATTTGAGTATTAAATTATTTGAAATGTAAATTGTTATTATCTTAAAAACTGATGTTATTTTTAATTTAGTCAACAATGAATAAAATTGAATATGGTCTTTATATAAAATATAAACTAAAAACACAAATTACTATAATGGGCCAAATGATTAAAGTCAACCATAACATAAAATAAATTAAACAAAAGTCCAATTCTATTATAACAATGTTTAAAAGCCCAACTCCTTTAAACTTATAGCCAAACAACATTAAACTCTTTATTACTATTATTTAAGTTTCCAAACAAACCTAAAGAGTACTACAACTTTAATAAGATAGATGTTATTCTTTTATCTAATATACATTCTATTAAGACAAATAAAAGGAAAAGTATCTGTGCAGATTCCAACTTTTTTCCTTGTACTAAATTGGTTTAGATTCTCTTCGTATTTACTATTTTATCTCTGGATAAATTTTAATTTTCTTTTATGTTAGTATCATCCAAGTTTGGAAAATCAGTGTTTAATTATTTTTTTTGTTTTTAAACAGGGTTTAATTGTTTGTTTAGTTAAAGGGTTACATCATTTAAAATTTTTGGCAATACCCTTTTCCAACCTGATGAAGGAATTTGATTTTCAAATGTAAGGAACTAAGTATTATATAAGTCATAGAGTACATAGTATTTATTTTTATTGGAAATATAAATAAATAATCTTGAGAAATTTAATGTTGTGGGTAAAAGAAAGAAATATGATGATGTGTCGTGCTCTGTTTAGTTATGTCTCACACATTTGACGTGGTCGAACCAATCAGAATTTCTTGATAGCTAATATACTGACTTTTCCATATTATTTAGAAGAAAAAAATATCATGGTGTATTTTTTTTTCTAGCTTCTGCTTGGAGTACATAAAATATATTCTTACAGTTACAGGTTCATGAAATTTTCTGTATTTTAAAGTTTTTAACTATATGTCTTACAAATGTGAATGAGTTCGAGAAAATATTTATAATTAAACGATTAAATTATCTTAGACTTGCATGTCGGCAGAGTGTGCTTGTAATCCTTTTTATGTTTTTTTGTGTCTGCGAAACAACGGTTTATAATGTTAAAATGTTTGAAATGCAAAATCAAGAAGAAGAAAAGTAGTAGGGAATGTGACAGAGAATGAGAGAGGAGGAGAGGAAAGCTATACGTCCCACGAGAGTTGTTCGCCAGTTTTGAATTTTCCAAACCAGTTAAGACGTTTAAGTCAGTCTTCAGTACAGTTTTGTATGGACCATTCACATAATGTTAAATAACTTCTTTTTTTTGAGCAACCCAATAATGTTAATAACTTGAACCCAAAAAAAAAACGATATATAATATGGTTGCGGGTTTTCATCACAGGTAAATTGTTTGGTTGTATTATGCACTTGGGAGATTTTTTTTTTTAAATATCAAATTTGAAAACTTGGAGCGGCCCACAAAATGGGTAGTTGGAGCGGGAAAATCATTCAATTTTGTCACATATTGACTGCTCATGCCCGTGGCTTCTAGTACCTTTCACCTTACAAACTTTTCTTATATTTAAAACAAGCTGCCACACACACCAAAAAATAAATAAAAACGATTACTGCCAATTTGGGTAAATCAAGCTGTATTGCATATTTGCATGTGAGAATTAAGAATACATTCAGACAATGTGACGTTGCTAGTTCAACTACGTACTTGTCTTTGTTTCTTATGACTTCCAAAACCTGCTTTTCTTGTTTAACGAGAATTTGAGTATAACTCTTGTTTCTCACCAAAAAATTTCACCACTAGCATGCAAGAAGTCTTGATCGTTTCAAATTTGGTCATCAATACACTTTGTATTAGTCTCTTGGACACTACTTTTGTTAGCGTTCTTTCAAGTCATGTTGCGGTTTGTTTTGGTAATCTTTGGTTCTGTTCTTCATTGTTTACTCAATTGGGTTACTATCATAAACGACTCTGAACGTTTCAAATAGTTAAGAGTTTGCTTTTACTCCCCAATACCATTGGAACTTTCACAACACAAGAAAACATAAAGAAGAGTTTCTATGATCATATGATTGGTTTGTAGTTAAATAATCTAAATAAACAACACTACTACTCTCTTCACATACTTTATGAACAAGACCCACTACCTCTGGAGCAACCTTCACTTGTTTGTTTGCATGTCTGCGTCAGGGCTCAAAAGAGACTCAACATCTGGAGTAACAGTCGCAAACTTCGTTGAAGAACCAATGCGAGAGCAGTTCCTCTCTCTGGTATCAATCGCCGCCACATCATTATGAAATACTGTATTCGGTCCTGGCGACACCTGAATTTACGTTTAGGAATAAAGAGTTCAGAGAGATGATGAAGAGCTACAAGCAGAGTTGATTAAACTTGACATGTGTGTATTCACATATAGGTAAAAAAATGAATTAACTTACATCATAGAGGATATCTCCAAGCTTTAACTTGACAGCACCGCTCTTGTAAACTAGCATTTTGCCCATGAAACCCTCTGGTAAACCTTCAAAAGCGCTGCTTCTCTCTGATACTGATGATCTCTTGGCCGTTGGTTGCTTCGTTACAGGGAGACAGTCTGGAAGCTTAAAGAAAAGCATCTGTTTTTTGCAGTGTTGTCCCTGTAGGAAGCTCAAAAGATACAATCAGTCAAAAACTCAGTGAAGAGTTCATATCTATAACAATACCAACATGTTTACAAGTTCATTACCAATGTCAGACCGAGTTCTTCTGCTGAGTTGATGTTATTCTCGTCATAGTGAAGATGTTTAGCCACGTTCCCGAATTCCTCCTGGTCAAGAAGTTCTAACAACACAAAGAAGGGGTGAAAAGAAGAAAGCAAACACATTCACAAAGCTGTGTTTTTGAGATTCACATCAGAGCATACCTGGATCACCAGAGTTAGGCTTTCTCAAAGGAAGAACAGTAGGATAATAGGAGTTTTCATCCTGTAACATGAAAATGTGAATCAACCTTATGTCACATAAATTAACACAAACGAAACAGGAGAGGGAAAATCAAGTTTTTTTATCTGAGAGATTCTAGTTACCCAAGGTTCAACGTAGTCTTGCTCAAATCTTGTAACATCTTTTTGTGCAGGAGCAGAAGAAATAAGAGGAAGAATAGCAGTAGAAGAAACAGAGGGAAGAGAAGTAGTAGCAGCAGAAGATGTAGAGGGATTTACATCAGAACCGTGCTTATCATCTTCTTTAGGAACCCCAAACGACTTTATTGCAAGTGAGGAGAAGTTTGGTTGGAATGCAACCTCAACAGAAGATGCTGCAAGATTTTCAAGAACGTTACATAATACCACCACCTTCCTCACAAATGACTTTCAGATAAACTATTTACAGAGCTAGTCATTATAGATCACTGAAAGAATGAAAATGGTTATTACCTTTTGTTTCGGTTTTAGGTCTCCTCTGGCCAATCTACAACAACAAGAGAAGAAGGCAAGTTTCAACTTGGAGCATTTGGATGAGAACAACTAAGCGGTTATATGGTTACAAAGAAGTATAAACAACACATGTTACGAGTCATGGACCAACTAAGTTCATGATAGAAAGCTCTAATGCATATTTTTCATATTTCTTTGTCATATTTGCTGCATTTGGATAATATATCAATTACCAAGGAATAACCAAAGTGAAGAATTTGTTCTTGGCTAAAGATGAAGAAAGCACACCGTTTTGCTACCATATTTAATAAATACTATAAAAATAATCTAATGTGTAAGATGTTAAAACTATTTTAAAAATTAAGGAAACTAATACGGTTAGAATTATACTGTTGATTAATCTTGTTTCCAGGGGAAATAAAAATAGGAAAGCAGCAAAGATTGAGAAGAGAAGGTACAACATACGCCGATACGTTTGGCTATCTGTCGTGCTGCTTTTTTATTCTCTTCCTCAGCCTCAGCAGCTTCACTGTGTTTGTGTGTGTTCAGAAAAAAAAAAGATATTAATCTTATAAATTCACATGTAATAAGCAAATATATGCATGCGTAAGGATCTTGAGAATAAGAGAAGAATTACGTGTTGGAAATCGGAGGGATCGGCCGGAAAGAAGGCGTGGGAGCTCTTGGATGAAACCTCCGCTGACGAGAAGAGGGAGATAATATTAGTGAAAGACGCAATTTCGGTGAGATTTGAGCTGAAATTACGGGATGAGATGAGAAGATATAATCAGTGGAAAGTTTACCTTCGACTTTACCGGAACCTTAGAGCCTGAATCCATGGCAGTCGCCGGCGAGAGAATCGGGCGGAAAAAAAAAAGATTAGGGATCTGGTAGATTAGAGGAATCGAACTCGGGTCTTCCGAAAATCTGAAATTGGGGAAATCCAGTCGACCTAGGGGCGCTTTTAATGACTGTGAAGTTGTTTAAATATTTAAACGTTGTTGGTTAGCTTTATTAAAATATATGAGAAATATGTGATTGGCGAATTTAACCAAGATAGTAACAAAAACCAGTAACTGTATTGTGTCTTGAATCAAAGCAACTGTGTTAAGTTGATTCGATAGAACATATTTTACATATGAAATGAAAAACATTTACATTGTCAAATGTAGGAAAACAAGTTTTACTTTCCTCTTACCTGTCTTTCCTTTTGTTTTGGTCATCGTAGTTACCTCTTTTTCCTTTATCTTTTTTGTTGTTGTGTCATCCTTCCTAACTAATTATCCTCTTGTTTGTTTTGAGTATAGTAGAATGTGAAAGATATGTATCAGGGAGTAGTATATAAAACCAATCACCACTTTGAAAAAACTTTGTGAGATTTCTATTAATTTCCCTCGCTAGACTATAGTCAACAGGTTGAACAAACGTATAATGTAAGTAACACTTAGTTACACATCCCAACATTTAAACTACTTAAGAAACGCTATTATCGATGTTGCTAATGTTTTCTCTGGTCTTCAGTCTTCTGAAGTAAATGAACCTTTAAGCTACTCTCCTTTGCCTGTTAAAAACAAAACTCTTCCACGTTAGATTTTTCGATCTTTCAAATTCTAATTGAACATAAATAAATCAGTCACACCAGTTTGGAGTTTGGACCACTCAAGAAACCAATCAGATGAATAGAGTATTTACCGCAAAGACAGGAATAAGGAAAAGGCTCTTCTCCAGCTCTTCAAAATATAACAGTTCTTGTTTGAAAATACTGAGCAATTCTGTCATCTCGGACATGATTATTTCAACCTGTGATATTTAACCACCAAAACATTCTTATATTTCTTCATTCTTCGATATAAAAAACAAAAAAAAAAGGAAAAAATATCTAAATAAATAAAGTGGAATTACTCGTGGGAGAAACTTGATGACAATGTCTTCGATCTCATCCATGACTTCTATAGCTTTGACCATTTCTTCATGTATGGACACCACATCTACCTGGTACCCTCCACACTATTATTTTCCTTTTCTTAAGAAAATGTAAATGTTTTACCCTCCTATCATAGACAATTGCAAAAATGATATTACCTTTGCACCATGTAGGAGTGGTACACGAACAGACAAAGCGTGCAGTTTTCGAGTTAGCTTGCTCAACGCTTCACAGTTCTTGGCATCCAATTTGGACCATTCATTGAGTAAAGGCATTTGGAGGCTCAGAACTTGACGTAGTTTAATTTCTTGCCGTAGCCTTTGAACTTCAATTAAATTTTCCACTACGTACTTCCTCATTTTGTATATCCTAAGCCAAACCCAAAACAATTGATCCTGAAATAAACCACACAAACATATTGATATATTCCATGTATATATATTTACATATTGATACATTATTTTCATAAACAAAAGTAACAAGTTTGTACCTCAACGTTGACCTTAAGGTTAGCCATAGTAGCTTCTGTTCTTGCGTTAATAAACCTTAACTGAATTAATCTGTTATGTAAAATCCTAAACCGGTGATAGTTTTCCTCTTGTACCGGGGATACTTTCTTCTGTGCCTTAAAGTACTTCAAAACTCCTGCCACGGCTCCACCGCCACCGCTTCTCATCTTGGCTTTACTCACCGGTGACTCAGGCGGCGTGTGGCACATTGAAGTCACCGGAGCTGAGCTTGAAGAAGAAGAATTTTTCATCGTCAAAACTCTACCAGGTGACAATGCCCACGCCGATGGTGAGCTAGCTCCCGGTTTTGCACCTTTAGATGAAGTGTTATAATTACGAAGACTGCCACGCTCACGTTGCTCCAAGTACCGAACAAACGCCTCTCTTGTTCTACCGTTGTTCACCTCTTCAGATCTTGACGCGCTGTTTCTTGCTGGGATCTTCGGGTTGGTGGTGGGTCTGGAAGATCTTGTTGTGGATTGTGATCTGCTTACCGTCACACGTTTGATTGTACTGGAAGGAGAAGAGGAAGAGGAAGATGAACAAGAAGAGGAGAGTGAGTTGTTTGATGATACCGGGAGAGAGGTCGAAGAGGTTCTAGTCCGGGTCTGGTCAATACGCGTCGACTGAGGCCGAAGTTTGCGACCAGTGGTGGTGATGGCTGCCATTCTCTTTTGAGTTTTGTTTTTTTGATAAAGTTCTTTGATATCTTACCGTTGATTGATCAAGCAAGAGTAATATTAAGCCGGGCAATATTCAACGGATTGTCTAAGTTTATAATATATTGTTAAGGTTTATATATTTATATATCGATATGTTTGGTAACGCTTGGGGGTTCATAGGAGTTGATTGCACGTAGAGGTAGGTCACAGGTGAGAACACTTCTACATGTAAGCCTATATGTATATATTTAAATATTTGATAGAATGTATTTGGTACATTTTACAAAGAAAATGTATTATGTCAAAGCCTACGAAGGTCAGCATAGCTAGAGACACGTCTTCTGATTATCTATGCTGCTCTATATGTTTTGCAGGTCAAATAACAGGGAGGGACGTTGAAATTTTTGATGGTTGTATTTTTTGGATACATTTGATTATTGTGTTTTGGTTAAACAACATGGTGGTAGAATAAGTCAAAACATAAATGTCCAATTTAAAACAACCAATGTGGATAGTTACATTGAAAATATAATAAGAAGATATCAAGTTTTCTATAACACTTGAAAAATAAATAATCTTAAATCTAATTTATTTAAGGGTAATTCTCTAAAATAGCACTCTTTTAAATTTTTATCACAAAATATACCTCAACAATTAAAATAACCAAAATAGCACTTTTTATTTTGAAAATTTTAAGTTTTCTTAATTTTTTTAAATTTGAAACCATATCCCCAAAATCCTACTCCTCAACTCTAAACAAAAAATATAGGATTAGTTAACCCAAAAGTATAAATGTATATTTAATAAAACATTTAAGTGTTATTTTAGTCATTTTATTTGTTAAGGTCTATATTTGTGATAAAAAAATTAAGGTCTATTCTAGTCATTTTCTCTTTATTTAACATATTAGAATTTTACGGACAATAAAACAGTCTATAAAACGTACAAATTAAATAAAATAAAAATCATTGTTGCAGAAAAAATAGCATTTTTTTTTCTCTTAAAGAAAGTGTTTTATTTGGTCTTTTCCTCAAAATAATCTTTATTTTTTTGTTGACCAGTTAAAAATCTATAAACATAATAAACACGGGCCGAATACGATGGGCCGTTAATGGACATTGTACTACGTAGCTGCCCTATGCTTGGGAGCCACGCAGCTCTAGAACTATCCGGAAACATGTCTGTATCCTATAGTCTCTAGAACATCCTCGCACCCGAACATATCCAGTTTCACCTCTTTCCTCTTCTATATAAGCTCACCTGTCTCCATTCTCGCCGCACAGTAACTCAGATAAAAGACTACAGTCTCTGCTAAAACTTTCTAAGACAAGCTTACATTATCTTCTACACATGGCTTCATCCCTCGCTCTCAAAAGACTTCTCTCTTCAACAGTCGTTCCTGGTTCCCGTAGCCTTCTTCGTCCAAAAGCTGCCTCTCGCCTCCTCAACACAAATGCGGTCAGGAGCTACGACGGAGGAGAAAATGAAGGTGTTGACATAGACAGACGCTCTGATCGCTCTGTTTCTCGCCGTGGTGATGATTTCTTCACAGGTAACTCAAAACGCCATTTCCCAAACTGTCTCAAGTTTTCATCAAGGCCTGTATCTGATCTTTCTTGATTTTCTTGTAGATGTGTTCGATCCTTTTTCACCGACAAGGAGTATTAGCCAGGTGCTGAATCTCATGGACCAGTTCATGGAGAATCCTCTGTTATCAGCGAGTCGGGGCATGGGAGCTTCTGGAGCTCGACGTGGTTGGGACATCAAAGAGAAAGACGATGGTCTTTACTTGAGAATCGACATGCCAGGGCTGAGCAGAGAGGATGTGAAGCTGGCTCTGGAGAACGACACTCTGGTTATAAGAGGAGAAGGGAAAGATGTTGACGATGGTGGCGAGGAAGGTGGAGAGAGTGGTAACAGGAGATTCACAAGTCGGATTGGTTTGCCTGAGAAGATATATAAAACCGATGAGATTAAGGCGGAGATGAAGAACGGTGTTTTGAAAGTTGTGGTTCCGAAGATGAAGGAGGAGGAGAGAAATGATGTTCGTCAGATCGAGATCAACTGAAACGTCGTCACTCTCGTTTCTGTTTTTTTTTATTTGGCTGTTGTTGTTTCGAGTGTATGTCTTGAATAAGAAATATGTTGTATGGTTGATACTTGTTATGAACGCTAAAGCTTGAGGAATCTGAATCTCCTATGTGTTTGTTGGAACTGTGTGTTTTATTCCCTGACTTAAAATTTCTAGTATGCAATTGCGAGTATGTGACAAAAGATTTGAGTTGTGACGCTTGTTCAAGTTTAAGCGAATTAAAACCTAAAATATCTCATAATCAGAGCAATCCGTAATATACATCATGTTTGAAGACAATTACTATCCTTAGACAAGAAGTCGTTGTAGAGGCGCTCTCAGATTACCACACAAACAGGAATCATTGATTGAATGCCACTTCATTTCTATTGTCCATCATGGTAAAAATGCACTGACAAATCCTGCCTATTTGGCGGACGCATCGGACCCGTTTGTAAGTCCATATTTGGTTGTATGGCTTTAGTGAAGCCCACAAGGTCCAACAAATATAGCTTTTGTACTTTCACGTAATGCGTAAAACGGAAAGTTTATTTTCAATCAACGTTAATTAAAAAAAAGCGGAGGAAAGAATAGTACCTTCCTTACATAGAAGAAACCTAAAAATCGCATAACCTAAAAGCAAACCTAAACCTAAGTCGACGGCGACAGAACACAACTCTCAGATCTTCCTCTCATGGCACCGAAGCAAGCTGATAAGATCCCAAACCCTCCCGCCGCCTCTTCCAGCGAAGAGGAAGAGGAAGAAGAGTCCGGTTCCTCCGGAGAAGAAGAATCCGGATCCTCCGATAACGAATCTAACGACATCAAATCCAACCTCACTCAAAAACCTCCTCCTCCTCCCGCAAAAAAGCCTGAATCCGATTCCGAAGAATCCGAATCCGAATCCGACTCCGACTCCGAACCTCCCACCAAAACCAAGCCTCTCAACACCGTCGCCACCAAACCAAAACCCGATACAACAACATCCGGATCTGCTCCACCCGAGAGCTCTACTGCTAAGCGTTCACTAAACCAATTAGAAAACGAGCCTAAGAATAAGAAGGCAAAGACACTAACAACAGAGAATGTTGATAACAAGAAGAAGAAGGACGAAGAGGTTAAGAAAATCTCCGGAGAAGAAGCTAAGAAGATGTTCCAACGACTATTCAGCGAGACAGACGAAATCGCGATGCTTCAAGGCTTTCTCGACTTCACTTCAACTAGAGGCGACCCTTACGAGAACATGGACGCGTTCTGCGATTACGTCAAGACGTTAATCGATTTCAACGCTTCGAAAGCTCAGATCGTTACGAAGCTACAGAGGTGTAAGAAGAAGTTTGTTAATATAGTTAAGAACGCGCTCAAGAAAGGTAAAAGTGAAGATGAGGTGACGTGTTCCAAGGATCTTGATCAGAAGGCGTTTGAGTTGTCGAGGAAGATTTGGGGAGTTAGTGGTGTTCTTCCTGCTAAACCTAGGAAGTTGTCTAAAGATGTTGTTGTAAAGTCTCCTCCTTCGCCTTCATATACGCCTAAGAAGGAAGGTAAAGGGGAGAAACGGAAGGGGAGTGTTTCGTTGAGTAGAGAGATGGGTTTGTTTTTTAAGGCGGAGAATGTTGGTGTGTTTGGTTTGGATGAGTCTACGGTGAGTAGGGTTTGGGATAGGGTTGAGGATGGGGCGAAGAAGAGGGAGGTGGAGGAGAAGCTGAAGAAGCTTAAGGATATGCAGGTGGAGCTTTGTTTGCAGAGGACTGCTTTGTTGGATACTACTGCGAAGATGATATTCAAAGACAATGCGTCGTCTTCGTCTTCATGATGAGTTATATTGATGGTTTGTTCTTTTTACTCTTTTTAGTATATTGTGGAACTAATGCTATCGTAAGTCTTAGTCAATATTATGCCCTTATGTTGTTGGATGCTTGGTTTGGGTATAATTCCCTTATGTGGAATGAATATTTATTCCCCCTTGTTATTTGCTTTTGTGCTAATAGTTTCTTTTCTAAGCAATGCAAAGTGTCTGATTCTTAACTCTAGTTTAACCCTAAATACATTGTGTTATTAGGATGCCAGTTGTTAAGTTAGTATAGTGTAAGTTAATGGATAGAAAGTCTTTGCTTTGCTTGTTTTGGAAATCAGCTATTTTTATTGCTACTATGTAAGAAAATCATCCTTGGGTTCATTTCCGTTTCCTTTTGTGGAAGACTTGAGACTTTCTATCCATTTTACATAACTTCATTTACGTAACAGGAGGAAGTTGACATGTTTAGTAGTTAGTACCCTTTGCAAAAATGGGCACGAATCACTTTAGGTTATGAAACAGCTTTTAATATCTGTAATAACTCGTAAACGTATGTGAGCAAGTTACTGGATGCAATAATAAGTCACTCTCCCGCAGTTTCTGTCATGTGCTATGATCCTTATCTGTCAAGCTAGTGCTTCCCGAGTACTGCACAGTTGAGAGGCAAGTCTCATCATTACAGAGTGGTTTCTGCAGTTTCTACAATGATTCATACAACGAGATGATCTATCTTTGCACCTGATCCCTCACAAGGCCTGAAGCAAGTTCTGATGCCTTCTTCAACTTCGGTGGCAACAATGGGACTCCCAACTTTTATTCAACTTTGGTGGAAACGTTCAGACACCCAACTCTTATTCAGTTCCTGACAATAAATCAGTCATACCTACAATGATGCTATCAGAGGAACTAAGAAAATCTAACCTACCTCAAATTTGCTTTCAGAATCTAAGAGAACTTACAGAAGATTATCTCCACATTCCCTTATTACAGTTCATTCTTGCAAATAGTCATTTAGTATAATTAAATGATTTCTTAATTAAGAAAAAACAAACATTCTAATATTTTATAGTTATTTGTAGACAGGCAACTTCTGTCATCTTCTATGAGCTACAGAAAAAATGAATATGGACACAAAAATGAAGCACTGTTCCAAAGAATGTTACTACTACTAGTTTATAGTTTCTGTAGATAAACTAAACAATTAGTGAGTTGAATTTTTCGGTGAACTATTTGATGTCTTACGTGCGTGCACAAACTACAGACCTGAATGCCGACTTACAAATTCACATAAACTATTATTAATTAATTCCATATTCGTGTTGATATCAGTATATGATCTTATTCCGTATGTACTATAGTTTACTTTGCGTACATATGATGAAATTTAATCTAGAAAATTAAAGGCCAGTGAAGCAAGAGGCTTAGTCAAAGGGGCAAAACAAGGTGTTTAAGATGAGCTAGTTTCACCTTCTTTAAGTAGTGCTTTTCCTCCTCACAGCTTCTCCAACCATTGAAGTGGCAGAGAACGGGAGTGTGATACATTCTCTAATACTTTTCTGTATGTTGCCCTGCTTGATTTTATATATATTGAGGTTTCTTGGTTTACAAGTAAAAGATATGATCATGAAGCGACGATAAACTAATATTTTGTTCTACTTTCAGGTTTTGTCGCTCTGAGGAGTTACTTAAAGAGATGACTTCATGGACTTCATCTCAATTCCTGTATGAAGAAACCAAGCCATGTGGTATTCAATTCCTGGAACGTTTCAAACGTTCAGGCAGACTCTCCTTCAAGCAATACCAAGCCCTAGTCTTCACCTTGACCTTCGTCGCTTACATCGCCTTCCACGCTGCTAGAAAGCCTAACAGCATTGTCAAAGGCACCCTCTCCGCGTCAACAGTCAGAGGAGGTTGGTCTCCCTTTGATGGACCAGATGGAACAGCCTTGCTAGGACAAATCGACTTGGCTTTCCTCTCTGTCTACGCAGTTGGGATGTTTGTTGCTGGTCACTTGGGAGATCGTTTGGATCTCAGGACGTTTCTGACCATCGGTATGATAGGCACCGGCCTTTTCACAGCTCTTTTCGGAGTCGCCTTTTGGGCGAACTTCCACAGCTTCTATTACTTCTTGGCCGTTCAGGTTCTGGCTGGGTGGTTTCAGTCCATAGGTTGGCCTTGTGTTGTGGCCGTGCTTGGGAACTGGTTTGACAAGAAGAGAAGAGGAATGATTATGGGTGTTTGGAGTGCTCACACTTCACTTGGTAACATCACAGGCTCTCTACTCGCATCAGGGCTGCTTAGATATGGGTGGGGTTGGTCATTTCTTGGACCAGCTTTGCTTATAACTTTCCTCGGTCTCGTTGTTTACTTTTTCTTGCCTGTTAACCCTCCCACCGTTGGTGCTGAGAGAGATGGCACTGAAGTTGACTCTACAATGAGGCTTGGTGACACCATTACAGAGAGCTTCTTGGGGTCTAGAATGAGCACTGGCCTCGATAGAAAAGCAATAGGGTTCACAGCTGCTTGGAAGATCCCTGGTGTTGCACCTTTTGCCTTCTGCCTCTTCTTCACCAAGTTGGTGTCATACACTTTCCTCTACTGGCTTCCTTTCTACGTCAGTCACAACAGTAAGTTGTTTCTTTCTCATCATCTCTAAAACACATTATGTTCCAGTTAGGCATGTATATTCAGTCCGGGTAGTTTTCTCATGTCTGGGTCGGTTTGGATATTTAACTAGGTATTTGGAATTTTTTGGTTTTGGTTTCTTTCGGGTCCGCGTTAGTTTGGATCTATAAGTAAAATATCTATAAAATAAGTAATTTTGGATAAATAGAGGATTCGAGTCGGTTTAGATATCGAGGACCTAACAAAATACTAGAATTATATCCGAAAATATCTTATAAATACCCACATTAAAAAATATACTTGAAAATATTCAAATACTCGAAAAAACCTTGAACTTTTGTCCGTGACTAAATTAACAGGAAAATATTGAAAATATATACGACATATCCAAATATACATAATATATACTATGTATTTCAGTATATGTTTGGGTCCTAACTCCTAAGTAGTACCCTGCCAAAACCAAAACCCGCTTGTCCAAAAAGAAAATATTCAATAGGTATTTTGTCTTGGACCCGGAACCAAACCGAACCAGTATTTTGGATCAGTTTCGGTTTGGTTTTTTCAATCGGCTAAAATGTCTAGGCCTATAGTTCCAGTCTTGTTATATTAATTGTCTTGATTCTTTGATGCAGTGATTGGAGGAGAGTACCTGTCGGAAGAGACATCAGGAAACTTGTCAACACTCTTCGACGTTGGAGGCGTGGTGGGAGGAATCTTAGCAGGATACGTCTCTGACCAGCTCGACGGCAGAGCCATCACAGCAGCAGGATTCATCTACCTAGCCATCCCAGCCCTCTTCCTATACAGAATCTACGGACACATCTCACTAACAATCAACATCATCCTCATGTTCATATCAGGAGTCTTTGTCAACGGACCTTTCGCTCTCATCACAACAGCTGTCTCAGCTGATCTCGGTACACACAAGTCTCTAAAAGGCAATGCCAGAGCCTTGGCTACAGTCACAGCTATTATAGATGGTACGGGATCCGTTGGTGCAGCGATTGGACCGGTCTTAACCGGTTACATCTCTGAGATTAGCTGGGACGCTGTGTTTTACATGCTGATGACTGCTGCTTTTATCTCTGGTTTGTTGCTTACTAAGCTTATTATAACGGAAGTGAAAGCTATGTTGTATGGATCAGAAGAGGAAGGTGGAGTTGCTACGACGTCGTCGCCAGCAACCAGAGCTCCTATTGATGTTCTCCTCTAAGTTTTTTTTTTCCTCTGTTTCTTTGATAATTTTGATTAAAAGTGAGAGACTTTTTTGTTGTTTTTGTTTGTCTTTCATAAAGTTTGAACCTTTGAATGAGAATAAAGTTACCTTCGGTCTCTCTGCTATATAACCAACCAATATGGATTTACAAACCCAAAAGTACTTTTTCTTCAAAAAAAAAAAAGAGAAAAATAAAAACTTAAAAGAATAATCTCGTTGGAGGGAGGGAGAAGCATGCAAGTGGAGTGTGTCAAACGTCGTCGTCTCTACCTTAGGGTTTGCGATATTTCTCCTCAAGTTGCTTGGCCATAGAGATGGCGGAGTGGGCAAGCTTTTTGATGTTAGGAACGTTGTAGTTCTGAGCGATGTAGATCCCACACACTGTTCCCGTTAGGAATGAGAAGCTTCTCCTTATTATCCCCATCTTCTTCTTATACTTCTTCTCCAGATAACTACGCGAGTATGAAGGGTTTCTTGGTTTTCGGCGAGAACCTAGATCGCGAAAAAAATTGAGTCGGGGAGAGATTGATCGTAGATAAAAAAAATAAGCGAAGATCTTCTTGACAATTTTGGAAAGTTAAAGAACCGACTGAAAGATCAACTAATGGGCCTGATGGATACTTGGCCCAAACATAGTTTAAACTTACATGGGCTCGTGCTGGTCACTCATAAACTGTAGAAACCTTGACGCCAAAGACAAAAAAGGATGTAGTGAAAACATTACTGACTTATATTTTGGTCAATCTGGTCACATTTATGAGTTAAACTTAGTTAAAAACTTACAATAATGTTGAGAATACAATTCGGTAACTTACAACCAGAAATGGACACCAATGATGGCATAGCGGCACACCGATGACACCATAAGTAGAGATTTTGGTTTCACCGTAACCATATGGTATAAGATTATTTTTATGGTCTAGTAACTTTTCAGTAAAAATCATTGTTGACTATTTTGCTTTTTCTTTATGGTCTAGAAACTTTTCAGTAAAGATTATTTTTATGGTCTATATTGCTGCATGGAGTCTATGGCCGATGAGCCCTTCACAAGCATCCACTTCTTCTACAACCATTCCTCCAAGTGGTCTACATAAGAAGTGTATCAAGTGGGACAAATGAAAGCTTGGCAAATATACTAGCTATGACCGCGACAGTGAGGGAAGTCATGCCACATGTTCCAGATGAAGCAAAGCTTGGCTCCTTAAAAGCCAGTAAAGTAGAAGACAACATTCATGTTGTTTGAGGTAGCCAGAACTATAAATGTTAAGTGAATAGATGCTTTTTGATTTTTGAAAATGCTAAGGTGTCATCGAATGAATACAGGAGCTTAGTAACGTTTTATCATAGAACACAGGTGTTTTGGGTTAAGTTTGGAAGTTGGTCAATGAAAACATGAAAAAGTCCATAACATTTGAAAATCGTGATCTCACAGGCCCTGGCTTGTAACTCACGAGCTTACCCCCCTGTTATAAGCTCTTTAGAATCTCTGAGATTCTAGCCACGTCTTGTTACTTGTTAGTGCCTTCACGTTCTTCCATTTCATTTGCACATTGGATCTTGTCGCTAGCATAGTCTATGTGTTGTTCTGTGAACGTTGGTTGCTTTAAGGATTAGTCCAAATCTAATTTTAAATAAATTATTAAACTATTCCCGAATACTTTCAGGGAAAGCAGTCTCAACAAATGTAAATAATTAATAATATATGCAGCCTTGGTTGGAGGAATGATCTTCTTTACCAACATCATCTGCTCAAACATAAATTAAAGTAGACTAGAAAAATAATAGTTATTTTAAAGGCAGTCCGAATACTGATGAATTGATGATACATATTAGCTTTATTTTGAAAAATCGAAGAGCTCTTCTTAACGTGTTCAGGGCCACGCTGAGATTTTGAAAACTTTGGATAATTTAATAAAAATATTGATAAAATTGTAGTATGTTTACGTATATTAATTTTAAAATTCTTAGAAGTTTTACATTCCATTATGGACTATTGATAATCAGATGCAGAGGTACTTGGGAAAGAATTAAACAAGCCGTGAGAAAGAGTTTTTTTTTGGTCTAAAATGTAGCTCTGTTTGTTTACCCAAAGCTTTTGTGTGTGTTTGATAGTTGACTCCATTTGCCAAACAATTGGATAAAAGCAACAACTTGATTGTTGCCGTGAAGAAAGAGTTTTGAAAAACCTTAATTAAATAAATACTTGAAGTTATAACTACTAGAACATTTACAATTTCGATTACATATGATCAATAAAGAAGTAGCATGTAGGTACTTTAAAGCCAAACTAAAAAAGATTGTGAAAGATTTGTTTCTTTTAAAAGAAGCAACTTTGTTCTTGTCCATGCAGAGATCGTAAACTGCACTTTGGCAAAAGAGAAAACAAATTTATCTATTTTAATACGACTCTAGTTAAGCTCGAGAGTCGAGATATACGTTCATTGAGTTTCTCATAAACTAAACCATATTTGAAGGCTTTTGCTTTAATAAAAAGAGAGAGACATTATGGTTTATGGATCAGCGCAGCGTATCATAACGACTCAATTGATTCTGTCACTAATGTTATTAGCAATTTAAAGAATTTAATAGTCTGTTTTTATATACTACTAATTAAGTTTAATAGTCCCGACCAACAAGAGGGAGCAAATTGGTGCCATAATAATAGTAACATAGCGGAAAAGGTGGTGATTTGTTCCCACATTCTTCTGCGCATGTTTCCTGATCAATCTTTGCGTTTCAAACGGTCTTACACTCTTGACTTTCAAATTGAATGTGTTTTAACCAAGGTATCTTCTCTTTTTTGAACGTTTGGTGTATATCTGCTTACTCTGATATGGTTTGATTTGTCCCTTAATTAGATTAAGAAGGCTGACCTAAATCACCAACTAAACCTCCAGAATTGAAATCGACCTTAATTTTGAGCTTTAGCGCAAAATAGTCTCCCTCAGGCCTCAACTAACAATATTAACTTTCTATAAAACATTTAAAATACAGAAGTCAATTATCCTCTAGAATATGTGATATTACATCATTTCAGACGTTGGATCAGCAAACAAAGAAATAAATCATGAAATCTTGACTAACTGAAGACTTGCAGTAATGGTTTTAGAAAATATTTGCTCGTCATGACTTTGTCGCTATTGCCTTGAAAAAAAACAAATTTCTAAATTTTCAAATTCTAACTTTTAAAACAAACAAGGAAATATGAACAAAAATAATTAATAAGACCTAGAAACTTTGGAAATGTTTAGGAAATTATAAGTGTGATTGATAAAATTAGTAATTCTTCAAAATTTAATTCATTTTAAAGCTTTAAATAGCCTAGTGGTTTATGCTAATTTTCGCTAATTTTCTAACTCTTTCACTATTTAGGTAATCAAATAATCTCTCACACATAGCTTATAACACCTAACACAAACTTAATTATACAAATAGAAATGTAAATTTAAAGACATGACAATTATTATTTTTTATGTCTGAAATAACTATTTTTAGAAAAACGCCGAAAAATAATTGAAAAAGAAGAAAAACAGGAACCTCTTTTGTAATTTTCCAGACTCATGTAAAGAAAGAAATTCAAAAAAACCTTACACTGACACACTTTCTTTCACACCTCTCTTCGCCTTCTCTACCGTTTCCTCTCTCTCTCTCTCTCGTTTCAATTTCTCCCATCCCATATTAATGTCAAAACCGTAGAGAGCTTTCCACAAGTTCCCCAGAATAACAACCAAAAATCAATGGCGACAGCTTCTCTCCACTTCTTCTCCCTTTCTTCTCTCCTCTGCTTCCTTCTCCTCTCCGCCGTGTCTTTCGCCGCCGACCCTTTCGTCTCCTACGACTTCAAAGTCTCTTACATCACTGCTTCCCCTCTCGGCGTTCCTCAACAGGTTTGGCTTCTTTACCTTCTCCCTCCCGGAAATCTCGGATTCTCTGTCTTAATAACGTTTTCACCGACCTCTCTCTGTCAATCGAGAGATCTTCGGTGTCTTTTGGGGTTTAGTGAGTGATGGGTTTTGGAGATAAATGCTAAAGGAGGTTGCTTTAGTTGATCTAAAACCTCATTACCATTAGAATCTGATTCACATGTGTGTTGGGTTATATAAAGTTTGCAACTTTGTTCAGTTCAAAAAAAAGTTTGCTACTTTGTTCAGTTCAAAAAAATAGTTTACTACTTTGGTTTGGTGCTAACTTCTTATATACATTTTCAGGTGATAGCCGTGAATGGGCAGTTTCCAGGGCCTCTGCTTAATGCAACGACCAACTACAATGTTGTTGTTAGAGTCTCTAATCACTTGGATGAGTCTCTTCTCTTGACTTGGTGAGAAAGAGCTTTCCTTTCTTTAGTTTCTTACCTACACACATAATGTGACTACTAATATTCTAATAGGTCTGGCATCCAAATGAGGCGTAACTCGTGGCAAGACGGTGTTCTTGCCACAAACTGCCCAATCCCTCCGAGGTGGAACTTTACTTACCAGTTTCAAGTGAAGGATCAAATTGGGAGCTTCTTCTACTCTCCCTCGCTCAACTTTCAGAGAGCTTCTGGTGGTTTTGGTCCTATTGTGGTTAATAATAGAAACATTATTCCTATTCCTTTCCCACAGCCGGATGGAGAAATCATCTTCATGATTGGTGATTGGTACACTCAGGACCATAAAGTATGTAATCATCATCACTCTGGTGGTTTATTGTCTTTTTTTTTGCATTTTAGTTATTAAATCTATATACCTTTTGCTTTTCAGGCACTGAGGAGAATACTTGACTCTGGGAAAGAACTTGGGATGCCTGATGGAGTTCTAATCAATGGGAAGGGTCCTTATAAGTATAACAGTAGTGTTCCTGATGGAATTGATTACTTGACTGCTCATGTTGAACCAGGTAACTATATGAGACATTTGAGTCTTCTCAATGGTTTTGTTTAATGGTGTGTTGTGTTATATTTGGCAGGGAAGACATACAGGGTCCGTGTTCACAACGTTGGGATCTCGACAAGCCTGAACTTCAGGATTCAGAATCACAATTTGCTTTTGGTGGAAACCGATGGTCACTATACCTCACAGACAAACTTTACTGATTTCGATATTCATGTAGGACAGTCGTATTCATTCCTTGTAACCATGGACCAAAACGCCACAAGTGACTACTACATTGTGGCCAGTGCTAGATTTGTGAATGAAACCGTGTGGCAAAGAGTCACTGGTGTCGCCATTCTCCATTATTCTAACTCCAATGGACCTGCTTCTGGTCCTTTACCAGTTCCAAAAACAGATGTTTCTGCTCCGTGGTCAGCAATGACCCAGCCAAGGGCCATTAGGTAGCATTTAAAATGTCCCCCTTGCTTATTGCTACTACCTAAATTTCGTTACAGTGTATCTGACTCTTTTCATCTGCAGGCAAAATACATCTGCTAGTGGAGCCCGTCCAAACCCCCAGGGATCATTTCACTACGGTCAAATAAACATTACTAACACATACATCTTGAGAAGTTTGCCTCCAACAACGATTAACGGGTCACTTCGTGCTACACTTAACGGGATTTCGTTTGTGAATCCACGCACTCCAGTGAGGCTTGCGGATCTCCATAAAGTGAAAGGAGATTATAAGCTGGACTTTCCTGACAGGCCTTTTGATAGACCTCCTCGTTTGGATACATCTATGATCAACGCAACATACAAGGGCTTTATACAAGTTGTTTTCCAGAACAATGACACCAAGATACAGAGCTTCCATGTTGACGGCTATACGTTCTTCGTTGTTGGGTAAGAAAAAAACATTACACCTTGTCATCTATTCTTGTTTCTCCTTGTAATGTCTATGGTGTTGAACTGTTGATGTTGCCATTGTTATCCAGGATGGACTTTGGTGTTTGGTCTGAAGACAAGAAGGGTTCATATAACAATTATGATGCCATCTCAAGAAGTACAATAGAGGTTCTTCCACCGTAGCATCGCTCACATCACTTTGATCTGCAAATTTTCCTAACCATTGTTTGTTTATGTTTTAGGTTTACCCAGGAGGATGGACGGCTGGACTTATTTCACTTGATAACGTTGGAGTGTGGAACATAAGAGTAGAGAATCTTGACAGATGGTATCTTGGTCAAGAAACTTACATGAGGATCATAAACCCTGAGGAGAATGGCCAGACAGAGATGGATCCCCCTTCCAATGTCCTTTACTGTGGCGCTCTTAAGAACATGCAGAAGTAAGCATCTGAAACTTTGCTATCCTTCTTTCTCACTCTCTTTCTCTACAATATGATATTAGAATCTGAACACTCTTGTTCATGATTGTTCCAGGGAGCAACACCATTCAGCTGCAACCTCTATATTAAATGGACACTTGAAGCTAATGTTTAGCATGCTAATGGCATTGGTTTTCACTTTTTGCTGAGCTTTTTTATATCTTTTGTGTTGATCGACCTGGAGGAAGTGAAGTTCTCCGGTCTGTGTGTCATGGTCTCCCTACTAGCTCGGCTGTAGATCGTAGTTTATGTTAAACATTGGATTATTTTAGTGGTTTCAGGTTAATTAGTCCTCATATTCCATAGTTCCTGCGTGGTATTCGATCAAATTGGTTCAGAATCATTTTGGATTATCTTGTGCCTTGGTCTTTCTTACCACTATTCTCAATTGTAATGAAAATGTTGTGGTTTGCTTTGTTGTTGTCTTCTTCTAAACCATCCACATCCTTCATGTTTCTTGATATGTTTTCAATCAGCAAAATATAATGATCCCAAAACTTTAATTAGTAATCCCACTTGTTTCAGTTTCTAGTTAATTTGAATTTTGAAACATATGACAAGTACACTCATTTGTCTATATATATATATACATTTGATTGTCTTTTGGCATCATATATGAATCATATGATCTTGTTTGAAATACAATTCCACTTGCATTTTCCCTACGAAACTAAATATTCAAGTTTCTAAACGGTAGCTAACTAGCTATGCCGATTGCAATTTGCAAGTATAACTAAACCTTAATTTTTCTTTTGACATGATAAATTAGAAACTAAGAAAATATCTCTCTAAATACGAAAGTATGTCTAAACTAATGTCAAGAGCCCAAATAAAAATTTATTTTAACTAATTCACAAACAATTTATAAAAAAAAATTGAAAGCCTTTTCCTTTTTTTTTTTGGTTTTTGTTTTAAGGTATGCTGGAAATTCCAGCAAACAAACACCCATGTATAAGCTATGCATGGGATATCAATTCCCTATAATGGACATACAATGTACGTTGATCTGTCTTACTTAATAATTACATAAGAAAGATGATTAATATATAAATGATGTTTCTCCGAATTAAGAGATCTGGTCCATGTTCTTGTTACATGGGCATCATACTGCATCACGTGCCACCTTGCTTAAACTCCGGAATGAAGTTTGTATTCATCTTATAAATTTATTTGGACACCGAGAAACAAATTCTCCTTGATTGTTTGGAATATTTGAGACTCCCATGTTTTGCAAATTATTATAAACAGGTATGTTATGTGCGGTCATGTTACAGCCAAGTTTTGGAAGTTACTATAGCTTCTTGTGATTGTTTACGTTTACACTTTACAGCACAATCTATTGGATTTTTTCCTGAAACACAATCTATTGGATTAATATACCAGTTATATATAGTTAATATATCAGGTTAGAGTCATGATATATATATAGGCTAAGATGGCACCCTTGGATAATCATGCTCTTATCAACCTATGGTATAATGTGACTCGGAAAAAATAGAGCAAACATAATGAGATGTCACATTATTTAAATGTCTTTCCGATATGTAATATATATAGAATTTTTGAATATCGGAGGTTAAAGTTCGTAGTCCTCTTAAGTCAAACCACATGTAATATCATAACATGTAATATTAGTTTTTTTTTTGTCGCGGTCACTCGAAAAAGGATCAGAGTTTTCTAATATTATATAGTTTTATAATGTGTTTTACCGTTCAAACTGAAATTATTAGGTTTTATGGTTGACAAAAATAATCTTTATTTCATTTAAAACTAGAAGTCTAGATCCAATCATTCTCTTAATAATTGTGATACAATTAATAATCCACTGTGTTGTGTATCAGATTAATATATATATACACATTCTGCATAGTTTCACAATTCGCCAAAAAGTTTATGCATTTCTCTTCTCTCTCAAACCCAAAATTAAAAGTACAAAACCCTTAAAGTAACAAATATGTTGCGTTTAGTCATACTCTCTCTAACTCTCATTGCTCTCATCAACTCATCAAACCTCCCGAGAACAACAGCAACTCCACCAGCCAGATACCAAAACTACAAAACATACGTAAAAACAGCATGCAACTCAACAACATACCCTACATCGTGCTACAACTCATTGTCCACCTACTCTTCAACCATCAAATCCGACCCAATCAAACTCTGCATAACATCTCTCAACATCAACCTTAAATCCGCCAAAAATGCCTCGTCCATCGTTTCTAGCCTTCTTAAAAAGGCCAAAGCCGCCTCTAGACCCGAGGTTCCGATCCTCAAGGACTGCCTTGAAGAGATGAAGGACACGGTCGACGAGCTCAAGCAAGCTGTTGTTGAGATGAAGAATCTCAACGGAGGAGGAATGTCAAAGGAGGAGCATCTAAGGAACGTGAAGACGTGGGTGAGTGCGGCTTTGACAGACGAGACCACGTGCACGGATGAGTTAGAGGAAGGAGAAGCGAATGCGGATACGAAGAAGAAGGTGAAGAAGGCTGTTTCTGAGCTTTCAAGGACAACAAGCAATACTTTGGCCCTTATGACTAATTACCTAGGTTACTAAAATTAACCATTTGTATTCACCTCTTATCTTTGCATGTGCATGTTTACGTCTTCTTTTCTCTTCAATTTTCTTTTTTTAAATAACCTTTATTTATTCATCTTTTTCTTATTTGAGCGTCTTCTTTCTTTATGTCAGTGATAATATAAATTCCAAGTTTCCACAGTGAGTATATTACGTGACAATGACACTGTGCATTTGATGTTGAAGTACCAATATATTTCAAGAATATTTAACTTCTATGTGTGTGTTTGGACTTTTTGTACTTCATTCGTTTATTCACAACTTCACATGGTTGTCTCACACCGTTGATGTTAATTCGTTATGATAATCATAAAATAATAACAGGTAAGAGACATCTTTAAATACTGGACTAGAAAATTCGGTTGATATTAATATTCTCCATGTAAAAGGATTTGTATTCATATGCTATAATGAACGGTTCCAGTTGGGCAACTTGGGCTATTTGCCGTTGACCTTGAGCCGCTTGAGGTTTTATTTTTTTCCATAAGAAAGGTTTTTAGTAGATTCTTCTAATAGGACTATTCGTTTCGTAGAGGCTGCGTCATGTGCAGTTCGTTTTATAGACGTAGACGCCAAATAAATGCATAATTTATGTCAAGACCGCGAAATTTAATAAAACGAAAAAATCATGATGCAACCAAACGAATAACACTGATATCAACAAATATGATTCTAAACTTACTGGTCAATTTTTGTCTAAACATTTAAACTGCTAAGAAATAAAGACAAATAACAACTAGAAAACTATTTCGGAGAAGGCATGACATCTTGATCAACTTGGAGTTGTGCGTCTCAAAATCCAAACAAACTAAAGTGAAGAACACGCACGCTGTTAGTTGCTACCCACTGACACTGTAATAATCAATTACAGACTACTATCCATCATGTCGTGAGCATTGTCGATAAAAGAAACGGTTGAACGAAGACGAGGTGTAATCGATCGATGTATGCAACCAAGTCCCAACTATGGAGTTAACATACATCCATGACTCCAAATCAGCACTGGCTGTAAAAGGTTTGACAATCGAGCCATCAATAATCGTGATACAAACAAAATATATACCGAGGAATAAGTCAGAAACTTGATCAGCACTTTTAGCAAATAGCAAAATATTTACAAAATGATGTTAGTAAGCCCAAAAGCGGCCCAATATCTCTATTGCCACTAGTCAGTCATGTCCGAGACAATAGAATTTAGCTGAGCGTTGTCTCAGCGAGCAGACGAGGCCTCATCTTGATCTCGCTTGCATATGAAGACAGAGACTGCAAGTATAGTTCCAGGTAAGTTGTTGGCTCACAAGAGGCTTTAACGAACTCTGTATTATCATTGGATTATTCTCGAAGGTTTCTGGCCATAGGCCCATAGCTATAGCTGCGGCGGACACATACAGAAGAAAGAGTAGTTAGTGTTAAAAGAACCATTAGTATGTAGTAATGTTAAAAAACCATTAGTTATTGGTAGATAAGTTTTTACACCAAAAAGATAAAAATTGGTAAGTAGTAATGTTTAAAAACCATCATTTCGATAGTCTTTCTGAATTAGGTTATATTCTCACTCTGGCTTCATCCAAATTTGCTTTTAAGTTGGTGTTTTGTTAGTTTATAGATTGAAATGATACACATAATTATAAACCACGTGCAAATTCCAGCAAATAAACACCTATGTATAAGTTATGCGTCGGAGATCAATTTGAAAATACGATACGTTGAGCTGTCTTTCTTAATAAATACAGAAGAAACATTATTAATATATACTATCTTAACTAAACAAGCAGAACAAATGATGTTTTCTCCGAACTAAGAGATCTGGTCCACGTTCATATTACATGGGCATCATACTACATAACATGCCACCTTGCTTAAACAGCGGAATGAATTAAGTTTGTATTCATCTTCTAATATTATTTTGACAGCCAAGAAAAAATGTTTTGCAAATTATTTTAAACAGATATGTTACATATGTAGACGGTCATGTTACATGAACACAGTTACACAGCCCTATATGTTTTGCAGTTATGACAGTTCCTTATGATTGTTTACACAATTACACTTCACAACATAATGATTTGATTGGAGACGATATATATACTAATCCGGAAGAAATGAAACAATTGCACAATGAGGTGTCACATGGTTTAAATGTATTTCCGGATATCTTATAAGTTATATCATAAAGTTTTATCTGGTTTTTATAGATGTCAAATGATAATGCTCTACTAGCTCTACCTGCAGTTTTTTTTTTACTATTATTGTATAATTGATTTTTTTATTACTTAAACTTTTAGGATTTTGAGAAATCAAATCAGAATAGATCAACCACTATTATATGGTTAATCCAATTTTTTTGTCACGTTTTAATCTAATTTTATTATATTTAGAATTCAAGTATCTTTCCAATCATTCCATTAATAATTGAGATACAATTAATAATTCAGCATGCCTTGTGCATCAGATTAATATATATACACATACTGCCTAGTGCATAGTTTCACAATTCGCCAAAAAAATTGCATTTCTTGGCATCGGTTAAGAAGAACAAAAACTCTAACTGAAAAACATGTTGCGTCTCTTGATACTCTCTCTAGCTCTCATTCCTATCATCAACTCATCGAACATCCCGAGAACAACAGCAACTCCACCAGCCCTAAACCTAAACGACAAAACGTTTGTTAAAATGGCATGCACGTTAACAAAATACCCTACAGTGTGCTACATCGCATTGTCCCCATACTCTTCAACCATCAAATCTGACCCCATCAAACTCTGCTTAACATCGCTCAGCGTCAACTTCAAATCCGCCAAAAGTGCCTCGTCCATCGTCTCTAGCCTTTTCAAAAAGTTCGCCTCCAGGCCTGAGGTTCCGATCATCCTCAAGGACTGCCTGAAGAAGATGGAGGATACTGCCGACGAGTTCAAGCACGTGGTCGCAGAGATCATGAACAGCGCAAGAATCTCAAAGGGGAAGAATAATAAGAAGTTAGAAGCGTGGGCGATCTCGGCGTTCATAGACGTGACCATGTGTATGGGTAAGTTCAAGGAAATGAAAGTGAATGCGGAGATTTTGAAGGTGGTGATGGCTGTATCCGAGCTTTCAATGACTACAAGCAATACTTTGGCCCTTTGTAAGCTTTGACCCTTTGTAAAACACAACCCGCTCATTCTAGTAATGCAATTCATATTCTTAGCAAAAAAATAAAATAATACTTTGGCCAGTTACCTACGTTCCTGAATTAACCATTATTCAGTTCATGATTTCTTTGCATGCATCATGTCTACATTTTTTTTTTTTGTGTTTGTTAAAGTTGTAATTTTATTTTCTTTATATTATAAAATTAATAAATCATAGTTTTAAGTTTCCACAGTCTATAACGTTTTAGAATTACTTGTCAACTACAGTATGCATTTGAAGTTGAAATACAAACATATACTTTCCAAGAATATTAAAATTCTATATATGGTTTGGACTTTTCGTACTTCATTGATGTGTTCACGCGGTAGTCTCAAGATGGAATTCGTTATGACAATCATAAAATAATAGCGAGTACCAGAGCGATATATATGGTGGATCTTAATGAAAAAAGCAAGGCATCTTTTTTTTTTTTTGCGATTAATATTTTAAAAATCGATATACTATCGTACCGATGCTTGAGTATATATGGATCATTCGTAATTCATATCCCCATGATGAACGGTGGTTCCAGTTGTGACATTTACGGTTATTAGGAGGATTTCGTAGATTTTCCCTAATATCAACAAACATTAATCTAAGAATTATTAGTGATGGGTCTAACTCACACCCAAAAACTAGTTCAAGAGTAGAAGATTATCCATACACATATATATTGCCCAAAGACACTTGAATTGTCCGATGTGGGATATTTAATAGCCCCTCTCGAGATGTGGAATGTTAATAGCCCCTCTCGAGATGTGGGTGGGAAACGGTCTATAGGGAAACAGCCCAAGCGTAACATCTCGGAAATACCACAACATAGCCACTTTTACAGACTACATAGGTAGGAAACTATTTATGTGGAAAATTATAATGCTGGATCAAACCATGAGTTCTGATACCATATTAGTGATGGGCCTAACTCACACCCAAAAAGAATTACGCGCCAGAATTTTTTATATTACGAATTTCATGTTCCGTCTCAAAATTTACAAAACATGCCCATAAATATTTTTTTCCATAAATATTTGTCAACAAACTTTTATAAATGAATTAAAAAATATTTCAAATATCAATAACTGTTTCCAAGTTGGTTTCAGAATAAAAGTTTGGTTACGGATCGTTGAGGATATTGTTGGGCCAAACCCAAAAGTCCTTCAGCTTATTGGAGATTCACCTCTACTTCCATGAGTTCTATCACTAACTCAGATGAATGCCAACATAGATGACCTGATAAAGGTTTAAAAGATAAGTTTGCAAAACAGTCTACATGGCTTACAAATCTATATATAATTTCATTAATCAAAATCAACAGCTTTAGACTTCGCAAGCTCGTTGATGATATAACAATGTGACAAGCGAAACTGATTTTAACTCAAAACCAAACAAAGGACACATTTCTTGAAACACACAAAGGAAACCAAATCCAAGACCAAGCCTTAGCAATATTATCAATGCTTGGAAGCAAAGACATTGATCAAAGCCAATGCATTGCTGGTATCTTGCGCCACACGCAAAATGTGTTCCCTGATTAAGCTTTTCAGCTCTCCATTCATGGCTTTCCCTCCAAACCCATCAAGACATGTGGTCTCATCTGTCAAAGCCGCACTCGTCCATGTCCGGACATTGCCCATACATAACCAGAAGTCTTGTCCGCTTTCGCCTTCCTCCAAATGCTTCAGTTCCTTCAGCGAATATCTCAACCTGTCAACACTATCTCCCATCTCTTCTACACAGTCCACGACAGCCTCGTGCTGCCTCTTCGTGATTCCTTTATAGTCAGTCATGTCCGAGACATAGGTTTTGGCTGCCTTTGCTCGGGACAAGCTAACAGCAAGCGCCGTCTCAGCGAGCTGACGAGGCCGCTTCTTGATCTCGCTTGCATATGAAGACAGAGACTGAAAGCATAGTTCCGGGTAAGTTGTTGTCTCACAAGACGCTTTAACGAACTGTGTGTCATCACTATATTCCTCTCCAAGGTTTCTGGCCATGGCTATAGCTGAAGCAGACACATACAGAACAAAGAGAATCAGAGAAAGTTTTGCCATTTTGGGTTCTAAACACAAATGGGTTTTTTATACAAACAAGTAGGGAGTAGCAACAAAAGGGTCCAGGGATTTATATAGAGGCTTAACGAATGTGTGAAAGCATATACTTAGACCCTTAGATCCTAACACAAAGCACTATTATTTATTATAGAGCACAAACTGGAGTTAGTTGAAAAGTTAATAAATGTGAAGCAATGAGGGTCTCAATAAAAGAGGATAAGCTGGAACTGTATGTCTTCATATTCAGTGTTTTTATTGCTTCACATTATCATATGATTCTTTTAGACAGCTTATTTTGGATCCTAGCTTTCCAAATATGCAAGTGGTAGGTCATAATGCACGTGACTGATGACTAAACCCATGTTACTAACCCATATGAAAACACTGGTCACGAGAAATATAAATTTTCAAATGAATATTGCAGTGGAAAAAAGTATAATATAGTGAAGACGCTGAATCTTAAGTCAAATCTTGCAAAAGACATCCCACGAAAATCTATATGAACAGCTAACCAATAAGACGCGTTCACACATGTCACGTGACTCTTTTCTCTATGAACAAACAAGCCACTTGTGTGTGTGTAAAGATTACTATGACATCATATGAAAAGATAAACTCGTGTGTACCTTTGACTAGACCCTATGTCTCCAATCCTCGATCTACCATCATCTGCTTTACTCTCTCAACATCTTCTACCCTCTTTGCCTTGCTATAAATTCTCATCAACAGCTCGAAGTTGTGTTCGTTATCAGGTTCTAACTCGAAAAGACGTTGCGCAGCAACCTCCCCTATATCTGCATTCCCATGGATGTAACAAGCGTATAACAAAGCTCCCCAAACAGTTGGACCAGCCTCAAACTCCATCTCTCGAACAATCATTGAGTAAGCCTCCTGTATCATTCCTGCTCTTCCGTAAAGATTCACCATACAAGCATAGTGTTCCATCCTCGGGTCTATCCCGTATTCTTTCGACATCAAAGAGAATATTCTCTCTCCATCTTCCACCATTCCTGTATTAGCACAGAGAGATAGAACCGAGACAAACGTGATAACATCAGGTCTAACATTAGCACGCTGCATCTCCTCGAAATACTTCAAACCATTAGGATCTTTAGAGTGAGCAGAGATAATAGCATTCCAAGAGACAATATCTCTCTCGAACATCTGATCAAATATGAAGCAGGCTTGGTCTAGTTGCCCTCTTTTGGAGTAAAGAACGATCAAAGCATTAGCAACTGATAACTCACACTCCATTCCTCGTCTAATCACCCATCCATGTAACTGACGTCCATGTTTCAAAGACATAACACGAGATAGAACACTAGATATAGCAACCTTATCAGGCTCAACCCCATTTCGAACCATCAAACGAAAAATGTGCATAGCCTCATGTAACAACCCATGATGAAGGTAACTAGTCAACATTGAGTTCCAAGAAACATAGTCTTTGTCAAGAATCATGTCGAAAACATTCCTTGCTTTAACAATGTCACCGCATTTAGCATACATATCAACAAGAGCATTGAAGACATAGACATCTTGTCCAAAACCTTCCTTAACCAAATCACGGTGAATCGCTTCTCCAATCTGAATAGAACCGATTCCTCCACAGGCTTTCAAGACTCGTGGGAAAGTAAACCGGTCTGGTTTAACGCCATCTTCACCCATCTGGAAGTAGATAGCCATTGCGTCTTCGTACTGATTAGATTCTGCGTAGCCTGAGATAAGAGAGTTCCAAGCGAAAGCTGATGATTTTCTCTTAGACATTTGATCGAACACCTCGTGTGCAACCTCCGCGTAGCCGCAGGAGGCATATAATCTAACGAGCTTTGATGAAACGCCGAGGTTGTTGCGTAAGAGGTACGCAGGTATGAGGCGGTGGACTCTAACGCCGTGGTTAATGGATCTCAAGGTGTAGCATGTCTCGAGGAGAGAAGCGAAGATCTCTGGTTCGGTGATTTTGATGCCTTTTCGAGCAGAGGTTTCGAGTTCTGTGATGACGGAGTCTAAGGCTTCGAGTGGTGTCCGTTGAATCGAGTGTTTTGTGACCAAGATGGGAGTGGGAGATGGTTTGGTTAAAGAGAGGGAAGTGAATCCATTGGTGTTGTTGTCTTGGATTTGTTTTTGCTTCAACTGTTCATAATGTCTGGGCTTCTTTTTCATGGAAGAAGATGATATGGATGGATAACAAAAGCTTGGTTTGGATAGGAGACTCACCATCTCCTCTTTTCACAATATGATAATTGGAGAAAAGCTTAAATATGTGATAAATATTAGTAGTAATAAATATCTTTTTTTTTCCTTTATGGGTTATGATAGTACAAACAAAACAATGCAAAAAAATTCAAGAGTAATGAACAAATATCAGACTAATTAACTTTTGTTAAGAAGAATTTTCTACCAAAGGAGACTTTGGATTTACACGGCGACTCTGCTTCAATTGCTGCACACAGAAATTACGGTTGAGTTATATGCAAGCAAGAAAAACATTATGAATTGAAATGCAGAGAGGGAATAGTGTATACCTCTTCAAATGGAGTGAAAATAGGTAGAACTTGTTTGAATATGTCATCTACTGTTCCTACTGCATTAATCTACAACAGAGATGAAAAATATCAGTTACAAGGCATTTGAATCAAACATATTATCAACAGCTTCACCGACTACAAAAGACGAACATGATGAACTGATATATGTTTTGCAATGAACTCACTGTGTAGAGTTTTCCTTTGTTTTTGTAGTAGTCGATAACAGGACGGTTTAAGGCTTCAAAGATTTTTAAACGCTTCTTCATTGTAGTTATATTATCATCAACTCGGCCCTGCAACATCAACGATTCCGTTTCATGACACTGTTATAACTCAAAATACTTTTAGAATACGCACCTGGTTACGATTCAAAACTCGCGTCACCATCTCTTCCTCAGGGCAATCGAAGAACAGCACTACATCCGGGTCAGCTCCTACCTGCAATCGTTTCAAGGAGCTTTAGTTTCGAGAGCATTTTCCAAGTAAAAAGGGGGAAGAAGAGAGGGAGATGATAACTAGAGTACTCACAATGCGCTCAAAAGCAACACGATTCTCCTCAGTTCGTGGAAACCCATCAATGAGAAACTTGGAACTGTTACTCGACTCCAGCTCCTTCTGTAATAGCTTCACTGTAACTTCAGAGGGAACAATTTTCCCATCTTTAATCAAATTCAGAATCATATCCCTGAAATCGAGATTTCCTCCTCATCATGAGATACAAACCAGCAGACTTACAAGGATTTTCTTAGTAAAATACACTGAGAAACACATAGAAAAAACTCTAATAGACCTTACCCGTTTTTAGTGTGCATAGCGATTTCTCTCCGGAGCAAATCTCCAGCACTGAGATGAGTCAGTCCAAAGGTCTCAACAATCTTTTCACATTGCGTTCCTTTCCCACTTCCAGGTCCTCCTGAGGGTTATACCATAAATCCATCAGAATAGATTCAAACTGTTGATAGATATGCCGAATGCTAATTCACTCCACAAGAATATGGAACAAAAGTTAATGGGCCCTTGATAACACAGGGGAGCTTAAAATATTCACAGGCAACTCGAGTGGAAACACAGACAGATTCAAAACGTTCCAACACATTAAAAACTCACCTAGTACAAATGTATTGAAGGGAGCTCAGATAATAAAATCAAATAATATGTTTATAGCAGTTGGTGGTAAAAAAAATTTATAAGACTATATTTCAAACTGTTGAACTGCCAACACCTTTGATTACAAAATGAAAAATCTGATTCACTTCACATGAGAGCTTATCTTCTTCTTCAAAATTTTACATGAAACTCGAATAGATCCAACACTTATTATTTAAAAATAGAATAAAAAACTCACCGAGTACAAATGTAATGAATGGAGCTTTCTCTTTCGGCCGTAAACCACTTCCTTCCTCCTGTGACATACACAATAGAAACAAGTTTATATATAAACAATCAACGAGCGGATTGATCGAGCTTCTCTCTATATGTATATACCTGTTTACTAATCTCCGTTGAAAAAGATTCCCCAACACTAAGTCCAAAAGCTGCCTGTAATACGCAATGAACTGTGTTCAATCCACAAAATCAAGCGATTGAGATTGAAAATTAACGCCGCACCTGGTAACGTGAAAGGGATCGAGTTGATGATGAAGAAACCATCGGAGAAAGTGATGCCACGCGTCTCCACATCTTTCCGTCTTCTTCTTCTTATTCGTCGTCTTCTACCTTTCAGGTGTCTGCGATTTCGATTTTTGGATTATCGATGTTCAGATTCCAGCAAGAATTTAATATCTCGTCGAGAAACGGATCGGAGGAGAGAATAAAATAATGAAAGAGCAGTGCGTCCCAAAAAAAATTAATTATTCAATGTTCCCGCGACACCGTTTTGTTTTGTGTTTCAGATTTTAAGCGACCTGCGAAATTTTTAAAAGGGAAAAATAGGAATAGGTCAAAAACTGAACATGGCAAGTTAAAGCTAACGTGCAGTTTTCCATTTAACAGAAAAAGAGAACGTTGTGTCGTTTTTAACTCTCCGAAACAGCACGTACTTCTACATATATGAATAAGTGCTAATTGGGTTTAGAGCACTTTATATACCAGAAACTTAAGCCCAAGTGGTAAACCCAGAATCTATAGACCTTATCCTTAAGACTTGAACATTAATCAAATCAAGAATTATACGTTTCCATTATTTGCTAACACATATCTCTATGGTTATTCTCCATGTCATTGTCATGGTCCTCCCGCTAATTCAAATGCTCAACACTCGTGACAAAAAAAGGTCAAAAAACGAATAGTGATGCAGAAATTTTGACAATTATCACTTTATTTTTGGTTAGTGACTTAGTGCTTTCACACTTGTAACAAAAATGTCAAAAACCATTCAATAAAAGCCTTGTAATTCAACAGTTATCAAATATACCACTCATTATATTTAGCACTAGCTACATTTTTTTTTTTATCATTCAAGAACAACCAGCCATGGAAGCCAAGGTAGGTATACAATGGAGCTCCATCATAGTTCCTTCAGTTCAAGAGATGGTTGAGGAGAAGCTGATCACCACGGTTCCTCCTAGGTATGTACGGTCAGATCTAGACAAAGCTGAGATGGACAGTGATTTAACAACCGAGATCCCAATCATCGACATGAACCTTTTGTGTTCTTCAACCTCCATGGACTCAGAGATTGACAAGCTCGACTTAGCTTGCAAAGAATGGGGGTTTTTCCAGGTAAGTCTTAAAACTCATTCTTTAAAAACCTTACAATCATTGTTGACTTGTCTTATGATTATATCTCTAGCTTATAAACCATGGAATGGACTCAAGTTTCTTGGACAAGATTAAGTCAGAGATTCAAGATTTCTTCAACCTTCCTATGGAAGAGAAGAAGAAGCTCTGGCAACGACCTAATGAGATTGAAGGGTTTGGACAAGCTTTTGTGGTTTCAGAGGAGCAGAAACTTGATTGGGGAGACATGTTTTTCATCACAATGCAACCTGTTCATTTACGCAAGCCTCACTTGTACCCCAAGTTACCTCCTCTCTTCAGGTTTGCATTCAAAGAAGCTTGCTTACCAACTCCACAAGTCTTCTCTGTTTTAAAACCTTGGTTATGTTTTTAACAGAGAAACACTAGAGACGTACTCAGCTGAAGTGAAAAGCATAACTAAGATCTTACTAGCGAGCATGGCAAGAGCCCTAGAGATCAAACCTGAGGAAATGGAATACTTGTTTAGTGACGACTTAGGACAGAAACTGAGAATGAACTACTACCCTCCTTGTCCAGAGCCTGATCAGGTTATTGGTCTAACACCACATTCAGATGCTACAGGACTCACCATCCTCTTGCAGGTGAATGAAGTGGAAGGTCTCCAGATCAAGAAAAACGGCAAGTGGGTTTCAGTCAAACCTCTCCCAAACGCTTTCGTTGTCAATATTGGAGACATGTTAGAGGTAAATTCATATGGACAAGCCAAAGGTAATATCATTTGTGAATGGTTTATTAAGGGTATATTGGTTTATCAAATGTAGATGATAACGAATGGGACATACAAGAGTATAGAGCATCGTGGGGTTGTGAACTCAGACAAGGAGAGGCTTTCTATGGCGGCGTTTCACAATACGGGAAATAGTAAAGAGGTTGGACCGTTGAAAAGTCTCGTGGAAAGGCAAAAGGGTGCATGTTTCAGAACTGTGACCCCTGAAGAGTATTATAAGGGCTTGGCCACTCGTGAGCTTGATGGAAAAGCTTTCCTTGATGTTTGGAGAATCTAAAGGACAACAAACAATGCAGCCAAATAAACTTTGTCTTCTCCGACCATTCATGCAACACTACATGAAAACCTTTTAAAGAGAAATAAACATTGGTGTATGAACTTTCTTAATAAAAATTCAGTACCTTTCTGCTAACAAATGACAAATGTGTTTCTGTTTTCTGTTGTTACAATCAACCAAATACATCAACGGTCCAATAAATGATCTCTGAACATCCTCTCCATCTTTTTAGGTGGCTTCTTTGGCGGTTGAGGTATAACTTAACTCAAAATGTCCATGATAACCGATGACAAAAACTTTTTTTTTTCTATCCTGTAGAAAGAAAGCTGCACATCTCTAGCAGAAATCAAGTTTCTTGGAAGTGAAAAATGTCTATCAAGAATCCAGTAGAGAAAGTGAAACTGTACTTCTAATAATTCGGATCATCCAAATGCCCAAAGGTCTCGTTCCAGTGACTTGAAGCTTCTTCTTGTGTCCGCATAATCCATATATGTTTTGATGCATCTGCTTTCTCTTGCTCTTCCAGAATTTTCTGCAGTTATCAAACAGTAAGTTTAGAACCTAACAGATATCCTCATATACATAAACAGTATAAACTCAACAAATATTATTTTGTCTAATTCCGATAAGATGCAGAAGAACAATGTTTTCCATGTTTATATGTGTCCTAATAAAAAAACAGATCTGGTGCTGAAAGTAAGAGCTGTAGCAGGTAAACCGGAGTTTGAACCATAATTGAAAAGAAGTGTGATTTCACATTAACTCTTAAGTCATAGCTAGACTATGTGATTGTCCAATAGATGATGATAGTGGTTGATCCTCTTGAACAGACAAAAGTAATGAAGAAAGAACAAAAATGTCAGATCAAAAGAATGTACAAACCTCAGCTTCAGAAGAGCTTTTGGTCTTTAATGAAAGACAATCAAAGAGGTTAGAGAACTTCTTAGTACAATCATCAAGTTTTCCAACCCTGTAATACTGCTGCATTTGGTAATATGGTGCTGCAAAGAGATAAATAGTCTGAGTTAATAATTCTTAGGTCAATAGAGCCAAGACAAACATTACAGGTGGAGCAAACAGAGACACAAGTACAGAACATAAATCTAAAAAAAAAAACAAAAACGATTTTTCTCCCTTGTGTATTGAATAAGTAAGAATTTGGATGAAACAAAAGCAATACAGCTAGCTAAAAACATTTCAAGACTATTCCTTTAAGAAAAAAAAAACAAAACACAACCTTGTACTGTCTCATCGTCATTGCTGGTTATGTTGGAGCATCTAGACATCCCTTCAACAAAACATACAATGCGGAAATGGTTTCAGAAATCTTTCAATATACAAAAATTCCTTATCATTTTTGTGTAAAACTAAATTAAACCATTTCTAAACCATGAGCAAGGTTTCTTTTTTAGTGTATAATATACAAAACAAACTACAAATAACAGAGCAAATAAAATACTGTTTTCTAACGCGGATGGATCAAATATCAATCAAGTTCGCATTTCGCTTGTCCAATGAAGAAACCCGAAGATGTAGAGTCAGAGAAAGATCATAAAAGACCAAGACATACAGTAGCAAAACCAGATAGCGTCGAAGTATTTAGTGCATGACACGCGCCGCCGCACAGTTGAAGAGTCTTCCATCTCCGTGCTCATCGTGTCTACTCTCAGGTGCTAGGAAGAAGAAGAAATGGATCTGTAAACGGGTCAGGTGGTGGTGGTAAAGCCCGCTTTTTAATTAATACGAAACGCCCAATAAGAAAAGCCCAAACAAAGAAGATGGTACACATCATCTGTATGCCAACCATTGAGTTCGTCAAACGTGCGATGATGTTGTATCATCATCATCATGACATGTGAAAATGGACTCTGACAGGACAGGCCCAGTCTGTTTGAGGAAAGGACCAGTGACCACTTGTGCGTGGGAGTTAGGGAGGAATCTTAGTCAAAGTTTTTAAGTTTTTAGTCAACGTGATTATACTAAAAAAAAGAGATATGTCCCTTTCTTTAAATGTTTTAGGCCAAAAAATGCATTATAGCATGCCTCAAACGTTACGTTTTCTCCTTTGCTTTTACAGCCTTTTTCTTCTTCCTTATTTTAATATCCCAAATGAAATTAAAAAAAAAGTAAATACAAAACCATTAGTTGGCTAAATAAAAGAAAAGGTAAAATACCAAACCATATTGTTTGGTCCGTAACCAATAATTTTGCTTTACCAAAGAGTGTATCAATCAAAGATTACTACTTAACCAGGTAATTAATTACTCAGAATAAATAAAGATACATTTCCTTTACTTCTCTCTCTTTTCTTTTTATTGATTATAATTTCTTTTATTTGTTTTATATCTCTCTTTCGGCAAAAACCCTAATTTCACATTTCTCCCCAAACTTAAACCACCCCCATTGAAAAATAAGAAAATTTAGATCTCTCTTCTTTCTTATAATTATCAATGTTTTTTAGATTTGAATCAATCTGAAATTAAGATTGATTTCTTCCATGGAAGCTCTGTATATTTTTAGCTACTAAAAACTTGATCTTTTCGTTTTAGCTCTTATCTCTGAATCTCAAGCTTATTGCAAAACCAAAGCTTGAATCTTTCCTGATCACAAAGATTCAGAAGGGATCTAAGATTTCTGGGCTCTACTCATTTTGTCGGAATCTCTAATCTTTATGTCCAGATGGAGGAGAGAGAAGGAACCAACAACAACAACACCGGTTTGAATCAAGCTTCTGAAGCTTACCCGATGGACCCACCACGACCCGATAACCCCAACCCGTTTTCGGCCCCACCCATCACTTCCTCTGTAGAGAATGCGGCTCCTCAGTTCAGCTTAACAATGCCGGTGGAGAACGCTTCCTCTGAGCAGAAGAAGAAGAGAGGGAGACCGAGGAAGTATAATCCCGATGGGACTCTTGCAGTGACTCTTTCCCCGATGCCAATCTCTTCATCAGTTCCGTTGACGTCGGGGTTACCTCCGAGGAAGCGAGGAAGAGGACGTGGCAAGTCTAGTCAATGGGTTAAGAAGCCTGAGATGTTTCAATTCGATAGAAGTCCTGGTAAGATGTTTTGTCTTACTTCCGACAAAACTCTTTGGAACCTTTGATGTTTTGTCTGTTCAGAACTAGAGATGTAGTAGTTTTGTTAGTTATGTAATTCATATGGATCTATGCGGGTTTGACTTTAAAAGTGAGAAAAGGCTAAGACTTTAGCGAAGTGTATATTAATGTCTTTGTGTTGTGTCAGCTTTGGTTTCGACTTCTATGGATTCAGTTGAGACCAATTATGGAGGTGTGGGAGGAACTGCTGCTGATTTTGTCGGCGCCAACTTTACACCTCATATGCTCACAGTTAACGCAGGGGAGGTATGGATTTTTTTCATTTTGTGATATGTTCTTAGTCTTAGTCACTAGGCCTCATATTTTATCTATGATCTAATGGATTTGTGCAGGATGTAACGATGAAGATAATGACATTCTCTCAACAGGGATCTCGTGCTATATGTATCCTTTCAGCTAACGGTATCATCTCCAATGTTACCTTGCGTCAAACTACTACATCTGGGGGTACTTTAACTTACGAGGTCTAGATTCTCCCTTCTTCTCTACAGAACTCACTTTTGTCTCTATTTGGTCTTGCTTCAAATGTTTTATTTAGGGGGTTGTGTTTTTATTGTGATCATCAGGGTCGTTTTGAGATTCTGTCTTTGACGGGTTTGTTTATGCAAAATGACTCTGGAGGAACTAGAAGTAGAGCTGGTGGTATGAGTGTTTGTCTTGTAGGACCAGACGGTCGTGTCTTTGGTGGAGGACTCGCTGGTCTCTTTCTTGCTGCTGGTCCTGTTCAGGTTGGTTCAAAACTTTCAAGATATTGTTGTGTTCTTGGACCTTGGTGAGAATCTTATGTATTTGACGTTGACTTATTACACAGGTAATGGTAGCGACTTTTACAGCCGCTCAGGAGCAGTCACACCTGCAGCTAGCAAAAGAAAGACGGCAAAGATTCGGATCTCAACCACCTTCTATCTCCTTTAACATCACAGCAGAAGAAAGAAAAGCGAGATTCGAGAGGCTTAACAATTCTGTTACTATACCTGCACCTACTCCTTCATATCCTACTCATGAAAACACAGCCAACGTGGTTCACAGTTACTACACAAACTCTGTAAACCATGTCAAGGATCCTTTCTCTTCCATCCAGGGAGGAGGAGGTGGTGGAGGAGGAGGAGGAGAAGCGGAGGGCGAGGAGGATGAGGGAGATGATGATGAGTTAGATGGAGAGGATGAAGACTTTGGAGGTGATAGCCAATCTGACCACGAGATTCCGAGCTGATGATCATTTGCTGTGTTTATTTTCAGGGGATTTGTTAGGGGGTTGATTGGTTTTCAGGTTTTGGTTGATTATGTTTTTTTAACACAGAGTGGTTAGAAGCTGCTATCATTAGGTTTCTCTCCTCTTGTGATTGTTGTAGTATCCATGGTAGAAAACAAACTTACTGTTTCAAAACTCTCTCATTCATGAAAGTTGTATGTTTTTTTCAAAATTCAATGCTTCAAACCATAATTTCAATTCTAGTCTTCTAGTAAAAAGCTATTAATCACCAAAACTGAAAGTCATATGACATAGATACAAAAAAAGCAAAGAAAATTCATAATGTTCGCTTTAAACATACATTGGGATTTTGAATAGTCGTTTCATAATAATCTGCTAGTATCTTCACTGGTGGTTAATAACACGCCTAGTATGAAATCAGTTTGGCATGGTTATAATTATCATTCATGATTTTGACTTTTTCATGCGAGAGTAAAAGAGGAATAATAACTAGTTGACATAAAATCTGAGAAATTCGTAATACAAGATTCAAGAGCAAAGATTTGATGTTTGACAGCTACAACCACACCTCAGCATTTCTTACAACCCAACCACAAAACACTTCGAAACTCCTAATCATAGATTTTAATCCTTGGAAAGATTCAATGAACTCAGGAGCGGTTTTTACTTAACATCAATCAGCTCGACGTCAAACGTCAGCCAAGCGTTAGGAGGAATCTGGCCACCAGCACCGCGAGAACCGTACCTGTGAATCACAACCCACCAAAAGTTTTAAAAACAAAACACCACAACACTACAAGAAAACAAGCTGAATAAGAACAAGAAGATGATTTACCCCATTCCTGGGGGAATTATAAGCTTTCTTTTGTCACCCACACGCATGCCTGTAGAATTCCAAAAGAAAAATTGCGATCAAAACAACATGTACATTTTGAACGAAGTGATGAGAATCAGTAAGCAATTTAGGTTTACCATCAACGCCAACATCCCATCCCTTAATGACTTCTCCACGACCTGCATGTTACAAAAAGCGCATAAGTATCACGTACCATTCACAAGAATGTAGTTCTTTGCATCTAGTTAAAAATACCAACCTAGACGGAACTTAAAAGGTGCCTTTCCAATGTTGGAATCGAAGATCTTCCCATTCTTCTGAAGCTTTCCAATGTAGCGGACGCTAACCTGCACTCAGAGACAATAGAATGAGCTCTGAATAGCTGGGAAACGGCTGGCTAAAATAGTTGATGCATTCTAATGAATTGCCCCAAACCACCAAGCCCACAAAATCCATGGGTAGAGTAATGGTTTGGGTGCTCTTAGGTCTTATAAGACATTGCTTTGTTCACTTCCCATCCAATATATGTACGCAGTAATCATATATGGAAACTATTTCAGATTATTAGTATACCTGTTTTCCAGGAGTAGCTTTCTTGCCGTTGGGTTTGCCCAATTTTAACTCTTCAACAAGGAGCCCACCTGGGTATGTCTTTTCTTGAGCAGCCTTGGAGTTCTCCACTGTAGCTTTCTCATTTGAGTTCTTCTGCTTATTTTTCTTCTCAGTAGATTTATCTGGGGTCTTAGAGTTAGAGCTTTCATTCCTGCAATTCCATTGAAAAAAAACACAGAAAATTGTTAAGATGGTCTGGAAGAACCTTTGTAGAAAGCCTTCTCTAATTTGTTACACAACGCTTATAATAGTCACTCAAACTTCTATTATATTTCAGAAAAGACATGGTTACGTTGAATTATCCAAAAGAGTCCTTAAATCAAGAAATAAGAGTTCTCACTTGGCACTGTTTACAGTTGCAGTTTGAGCTTTCTGGTTTGAAGTAGTTTGGGTGGTTTCCTTCTTCTCATTCTGACTTTTCTTCTTTTTATTCTTGTTTGCACTGTAACAAAATTTAGAAACAATTTCATATTCCTCAACATATGATATTGTCACTATGTCCTCAGTGTCAGTAAAAAGATCAAAGAGAAGAGCACCTTTCTTGTCCACCATCTTGCTCAGAAGCCTTGGCCTTCCGTTTTTTGTTGCTACCTTGTTCGTCAACATTTGACTTCTTCTCTGGTTCAGGTGTGTTCTCTTTGACAATAAGAAAACCATCTTCATCTTCGCTCTCCACAACTGGAACAGGGGGACTCTCTTTGACAACGATTTGCTTACTTGCGCTCTCATCTTTGCTAGCTTGACTCTTTTTCTTGGATCGTTTAGTCTTTTTATCTTCAGCAGGCTTCTCTTCATCTTCTATCTCCTCAATTACAACTAGCAAAAAATACCATTCAGTTTGTTTCCCCATTACAAGGAAAGAACAGCAAAACAATGCAGCACTTGTATTCATTGTAAATGTAAATGGCTTGCCACAAAAAAAAAATAAAAATTGATTCACTTCTGTAGAAAGAACAAGTACCTCCGCTGTTTGGGACAGAAGACTGGCGATACATTTCGAGATTACGATCAAGAAAGTCCTCAAACTGATCCAGCTGATCCTCATCCATCTCATCCTCATCCTCATCATCTTCACTATCATAGTCAGACGACTCTTCTGACCCCATTTCAGCAACATCCATACCATCTCTAATAATGTCGCAACGAAAACCTCTAAAATGAATTACACAAGAAACAAAAACAAGAAAGTATCACTTAGCATTTATCAACAAAAGAAAAGGATACGAATCATCTTCGTCTTGCTCATACTCTTCATCATAAGCCTCCAAGAACCCAGTAAGGTGGACACTTCTGTCACCAGTAACCGAGAACTCAACAGTCTCGTCATCATCTTCAAACTCAAGATTCAGAGGGCAAGATTCAGTTTTGTTAGGTAACAGTGAACACAAGTAAATGGGTGTGTTTCCTGCTACCGAACACTTCATCACACTCTTCTCTTTCCCTAAACCCGAACCTAGAGTTGCCTGAGTGGTAGCAAAGCAACACAATATACAAACATCAACACTCGCAGCTTCAAGATTAGTCTCAACGAGCTATAGAAGATTATACCTGAGTCAGGTGAAGCTTCCCTTGTTCGTTTTTGGGATGGTAAGCTTGAGGTTTCCCAGGTTTCACTTCAAGTCCTGCAAAAGCAACACATTCAGAACTAAGAGACTGAGATACGGAGAGATTAGGGCACAGAGAAACTAACCCCAGAAACCCATTTTTTCGGCTAGACGGCGATAAACTCGTAGGGATCGAGACGGTAACTAGTTTCTGAAGGAAGTTTGAAACCCTAGAAAGAGAGAGGTTTTAGCAGAGGCTTTATAAGATGAGCGGTTATCGTTGTTATTCGGTTTCGCGAATTTTCTAACGGTTTTGGTTAACCGAATAGTTCCTGGTAATATGGGCTTTCGTGAGTTTTGGTGAGGCCCAGCATATGTCTGAAATACTCGGTCCGAGTTTAATATAATAGTACCAAAAATAATGCTTACATGAAGAACTACTATTTTATAAGAGTTACCAATTATATGAAGAATGCTTAAATAAAATAAACATAACTTCTAATGAAATTTTCATAGATGCTCATTAAAGAATATCATTTTATTTTTTTATTTTTTATTTTATCGGCGAAACATCCATTTACATACTACTAATATAATTATTCTAAAATATTTATACTTTTGAAGTGATTTTGTGACTAAGAATGTCAATGATTTGTGTCGAAAACTTTTAAATTTTTTTGACTTTTTGGGCTTTGATAGTGATGTTTAAATCTTTTGAAGTATTCTAACTAAACTCATTACCATTTGATTGTTGCTATTTTTTCTTCAAATTTCTTAATATTTTATATCTTCGGTATAGTACTATACCTAGTTGTTTAATCACAGGTTAACTAAAAGCACGCCATGTTTTGAAATCCGATTAAACCAAAAGCTTTGATATTTTATAACAGACCCTACCCTGCATCAGCATGTCACATTTAATTTCTATAGACACACCACACACGACATCTACGTCGACTTGTGAATATATAAAGCAAACAACGCAGACGATTTGGTTTTAGTCAATGAATGGTTTGGCTACAACCTTTTTTTTTTTTGACTTAAGCGCGTAAACACACTCAAAACTCTTAATCTTTTTAAGGAGCTTCTCTCTTTTATCGCCAACTAAAATGCAATATATTTTCTAGACTGACTCGCATCTCTTAACCACAAGTTCTACATTCGTCGGAAAAGTAACTCGTTGGACAACATAACAACGTACGGTATGTGTGTATGTGTTTGTTTTATCTTATATTATTATGCAGTAGCAGGCGAAAAATGTAAACATGTCGGTGGTCAAAACTCAAAAGAAGCGTAACATAACGTGAAGGGGCAACAATAAGAAATATATCATATCACCAATACGAGATCAACGCGTGCGGCGTTTACTGTTGACCTTCGTTCCCACGAAGGGTAGTTCCGTCACTTACTCTAGAGTGGCCGACTACGCGCCGTCTCGGTTGATCACAGACGGCATTCACTGTACCGGCAGAAGAAAACAATACATTAAATCTCCACTAAAATTCGTTTTAAATTAAAACGAAATAAACTAACCTTCGCTTAATTCGATTTCGCAATTTTGTTTGTTTGTTTATTAAGCTTGTCTCGTGAATCTCCCTGAGCTCGCTCTACGAACAAGACGACGACAAGCACCATCATATAATCCCTAGTCTCTAGCAAAGTTTCTCCTGAGCTTTTATATATTCAAAGGTTAATAGTTTCTCTTTGTGTTTGTTCGTTAGTTTGCAATTTTGCATGCTGGATCTGTCTCCTATATTCTCATTTTTCCCGTAAATTTGATGGTGAATCTGAATTTCACATGATCATTTGGATAAGATTGTTAATTTATTAGTTAGTGTAGTCTTTATTGAGATCGATGACGTTGTTTGTTTCCATTAGTAAGCTCTGCTCACTGTGTTGTTCTTCCAGATTCGGATCTTGAAGAAGATTCTAATCCGTGATTTCGCTTGAATCGGTGGAAGATTTGTAGATTTGGACTGCATTTTTCTGAAGAATGTTGATAGTGACTTACCATCACCTATAAGCTCTCTTCTCCTTGCTGGCGTTTTAGTGTTTCTGAGGAAAAGGCCATGGCTTTGGGATCTCCTAAGCTTTCTATATTTGGTGCTGCTTTTCCTCGTAAAGTGTCTACCATTGCAATAGCTATAGGGGGATTAACATCCTTCTTTGTTTTCGGGTTGTTGCTTCGTCTTTCGTATCCAGTTAATTTCTCAATGAGTGGTGTGTTTTATGGGAACGCGACTCCTGAACAAGTTGAAGTCCCTTTATCTTTGACCAACAACAATACCGTGAAAGGGCTGTACACGGGTAGTGACATTAGTGTTTCGGATCAGAATCTGACTTCTCACTCTAGCTCGGGATCACATGATGTTGTTGTTAGTGGAAACATACCACCACCGCCGGGTTTCGATGGTGATGGGAAGTTGGAGGAGAAGCCTTTGGTGGAAAGGAAAGAGGATACGGCTGAGAAGAAGGCTGATGTTGGATCAGGTGAAGTGGAAGCTGAAACCAGTGTTTCCAAGGCTGAAGACACTCCAAGTGTTGTAGTACATGATGACTCTAAAACTGCTTCTGCTGAACCAGGTACGGGTCTTTTTAAACACGCTAGTTTCCCCACTCACGTAGGTTTCGTTTTGTTGTTTGGAATTTATTGTAGCTTAGTTTTCTGTAACCAGAGAATGAACTAGTATGGGAATGTTGTGCATTGAGTTATGCATTTCTATGGCAAATCGCTTAGTTTTCGGATAGGCTTTGAAGGAGTGATTGGCTATATAGCTTATAGATCTACTGTATCTAGCGTTAGGATTGAATATAGATGATTGCAATTGTTTTGACGTTTGGGTTGGTGAGAGAGCAGGTAGTAGGCTTGTTCAAATGTAGTGGCAGATTTTGTTTTAGTAGGTGGATTTTATAGGCTTTTTTGGGCATTTGGTTGAGACTTCTCTCTGGTTTGGTGAACTGGAATGAGAATAGGAGTTTCATAGCATTGTTTATGTCAGTTACACTCTTCTCAGGTTTACTTGCTTCTCAGAATGCTCCATGTATTCTAATTCTGTTATTAATTTGTCGCTCATTTCAACCTTTGATTGCTTTGTAGAGTGTGATTTGTATCAAGGTAGCTGGTTTTATGATCCGGAGGGACCTGTGTACACGAACAATTCTTGCCCCGTCCTGACGCAGATGCAGAACTGTCAGGGCAATGGACGACCTGACAAGGGATACGAGAACTGGAGATGGAAACCATCTCAGTGTGACCTTCCTCGGTTTGATGCCAAGAAATTTCTAGAGCTAATGAGAGGCAAGACATTAGCCTTTATAGGTGATTCAGTAGCTCGTAACCAGATGGAATCCATGTTGTGCCTTCTTTGGCAGGCAAGTTATTCTTCTTCTTCCGTAATTACTTGTCTCAAAAGATTCAATTAATGGGGAAACCCTGTATAAAGGATCTAGTATGTCGCTTTAACGTAGATTGCTTTTTACAGGTTGAAACACCGGTCAATCGTGGGAGCCGAAAGATGCAGAGATGGTTATTTAAGTCATACTCAGTAATGATTGCCCGTATATGGTCATCTTGGCTCGTCCATCAGTTCAACGAAAAATTCGATTATGCTCCTGAAGGTGTCACAAAACTAAAGCTGGACCTTCCTGATGAGCGCATAATAGAAGCTCTTCCCAAATTCGACGTGGTTGTCCTGTCATCAGGGCACTGGTTTGCAAAGCAATCTGTCTACGTACTAAATGACGAGATCGTTGGAGGCCAGTTATGGTGGCCAGACAAATCAAAACCCATGAAAGTCAATAACGTCGAAGCATTCGGAATATCAGTTGAAACAATCCTAAAGTCAATGGCTCAACACCCTAACTACACCGGTTTAACCATAGTGAGAACATGGTCGCCTGATCACTACGAGGGTGGTGCTTGGAACACAGGAGGTTCATGCACAGGGAAAGAAGAACCAATCCTTCCAGGGAAGCTAGTGAAAAATGGCTTCACGGAGATAATGCATGAGAAACAAGCAACAGGGTTTAACAGAGCTGTGGAGGGGGTCTCGGAGAGCTCAAAGGTTAAGTTAAAGCTGATGGATATTACAGAGGCCTTTGGGTATCGACACGATGGTCATCCTGGTCCGTACAGGAGTCCTGACCCCAAAAAGATCACTAAAAGGGGACCTGATGGAAGACCTCCGCCTCAGGACTGCTTGCACTGGTGCATGCCTGGACCGGTTGATACATGGAATGAGATGGTGTTGGAGCTCATAAGGAGAGACGTGGAAGGGGGGAAAAGGAATAACTGATGAGTTACATATACTATTATTATGATTCTTGATCGATGATAAACCAAACATAAACTCTCACTTGTAGAGTTTTGTCAACCACGGTGAGGTGTAGAATTAGGATTGTTTCTGATCGTATTTCTGCCACGTTTGCCTGTGTCTTTGAGATTGAAAGCTATTGTTTTGTTTCTTTTATTTCATGTTATATTTTTGGCTATTTCGGAGGTATTCTGAGTTGAGATGTACATTACGGAATAATTGAGCTCATGTTATCGCTCAGCTCAGTGAGCTCACCCGAAGGCGCTTGCTTTTGGGCTTGTTGGACAAGAAAATAATTGTTCGTACAATTGATATAGGTATATAATAAAGGGTAGAGGTATTAAAAAAAAAAGATATATAATAAAAGAATAAATGAAACTGAAATATGTAATCATGCAAGAAATGGAATGTAGAGATGAACATATTATTAACAAGTAGACGAGTGAGCAGAAAGACGTCATTGCTTACCCTAACAAGCCTTTCTCTCTCTATCTTTGTTCAATACGTCCACCAATAACGTAACCTTTTCTAAACTTTATACTAATTTTATACTATAACACTTTCTTTATTTTACTGTCTTTGTTCCGGCTCTGACTTATTGTTTTTTCCAACTTTACAACAAATCACTGACTGAGATTCAGACCATCACCGAGCACAAAATCAGACAAGATCAGATCCTGCTGACTCATCATCATAGGAATAATTCATATCATCATCTTTGCAATAAGAATCTGTAAAAAGAAAAAAAACGTTTTAAGACAAACTACATGTTTAAGATGAATGATATTCAGGAGAAGTGAAAAGCGTCATAAAGAGCTTAGAGTTAGTAGTTAAGAAAACATGGAGAGGATAATGCACAGATAAGTTGAGAAACATAGGAGACAAGACATGGCTTCTCTTTAGTCTTATGCGTCACTTATCTCTCTTCTCCCTGTTAAGTTCATCCAGGTCTGTCTCTTTCAAAAAACCCTAAGTAACTACTCTTAATTTCTTTTGATTCTTCACTTCTACAGATCTACAAGTATCTGAATGCCTGTGTTCTTGGCTGCATCTCCTCCAATGACAGACTCATTCACACTTTACAGGCTGAAATACACTCGCGTGTGCTTGCTAAATTTATAGCAATCTAAAATTCAGCACGTAAATATAAAGCGGTTCCCATGTAGATATCAACATTCGTTTTCAGACCACTGATAAGATATTGTTAAGAATCCACATATGGTATAAGTTGATGACGAGACCTAATCTTCATAGAGGACATATACCTTTTAATGTACTCGGTCATTTTTATTATATTCGTAATTAAAATTAAAAGTGACAGCATTATAGTATAATCATTGTTATATTGGTTGAAATAAATGGTCAATATATATCCATTAATCATTGAGATGTTGCCACAAATAGTCATGGTGACTGACCGTTACAATGCTCCGGCTTGAATCCGTGGTAATATATGACACATATTTTAGGCATGGTCGCAAAGAAAATATGTGGCTATATGCCAGTTCTCTTATAGAAAATGAAACCTAATTAGTATTGTTGATGCATAATGTTTTAACATGTTATATGCGAATGCAAAAGTTTAAAGTACTAATATGTGAAGTTGATTTGCTATATTTTTGCGTGTCAGAGCTCTAGCTTTAATTAACTTCGCAGACGTCAAGGATACACTTACTATGCCTACCCTAATTAGTAGATTTCTCGTAACTTCTGAACCCACACAGTGTATATAGACAGTTTCCTTGCACTTGTATTGTGAATTCGTATATTTGTGGTTTGCAGATTTTAAAAAGTAATATTGTATTTCCATATTGTAAAAGAATTTACGAGAACAAATATATTTTGTTGAAAAGAGGTATTGTGATCAACATATTTTAACCTTATAATAATCTTGGATTTTTGACGAAAAATGATTTATTTGGCAGTCATAAAGAAATGTCATCTTTCTCGATCTTCAATTTTCTCAAGAAAGAGTCCGAGACCGATTATAATGTACTTTGAAATTTCAAAATACAAGATCTTGAAGATATTAATTAACAAAATATGAGACTGGCTATTCCTAGCTAAACATATATGGCCCAACATAACACAGACAAGATAAATCATCACTCTCTATCCATTAGTTTACCACTGTTGTCATACATTTTCTTGGCCATTAGCTTCAATTATATGATGCAATTAATACAAACAGATCATCCTCTATCCATTATACAATCTTATTGTTGACACGTGAAGGTATCTACCAACTCATCCTGTAATTGATAATACACCTCATTTTCTCTCCCACTCTTATCTCTTGTAATTAAAGTTCAAACCCACTTCATCTCGACGTGTGAAGCCTCCATTCCATATATATAGTTCTTTCAGTTATAAGTTTTTCTTCTGAGGTGCATGCTTACATAAAATATGGTATATGAAGAAAAAATGTTTCCAAACTATTTTTCAATGAAATTCAACGTGTGCCGTGATTCCCAGATTTGCTAGACCAGTAGTTGAGCTAGTGGCTGGTCCTTATGTTCTGTTGTCGCTAGTTACAAGCCACTGACATTCAATTATCAAATGCATTTTGGTGATAGCATCATTATTTTTGTGACAAAATCATGTACGTTTTGTCGCTGTTAGCTTGGCATATATTTCAGCACGAATCTTTAGTTCAAATGGTAAAAGCTTAAATTTTGAACATTAGGTTTATTGATCGTTTGTCGCGAAGACGTTTTTTAAACCCTTTCTGTGTGTCTATCCGAATGAGATTCACAAAACCAAAAGAAGCAACACTTAAGTCGAGAAATAAAAACAAGCAAGTGAACATAAAAGTAACAAACTGTAAAATATGCCGATAAGTTGAAAACATCTATCTACAATATCGACTTTTCTTTTAGACTTTGGTAAACAATTTCAGCTAAATGATTAATCATTTTTTTTTAAAGTTTTGACAGGCCTAACCTTGGGTCCCGGGTGAATTAGATAAAGTAGGGTCTATTATTAAATTTTTCAACACATGGCCAAGTCACTGATTTTTGGTGTTTCTACTTTATTTTGAAAAGTCCTCCTTGTATAGGGCTAACAAAATTGTGATTCGATCATGATGTATAATCGAACAGTTTGCATTAGTGTTATTGTTAGGTCACTATTCAAATATAACAAGTTGTTGATTAAACCCATGATTGTGGTTCAAAATTAGGGTAACTACCATCTTAGAAACGCCAATTAAAGTTCTACGAAAGTTTTTATTTTCCATGAAGTTCACTAGCGTTCCTACATTCTCTAACCGACAAACGTAACCAATGATCCATTAACCGTTACTACTACTACTACTTGTAGTAACCAAGGTCAGCATCATAAGTGTATTATATGTTATCGAGTCCCCGAATTTATATGAAAAACTATATAAATACGTAATTATATGCACTTAAAAGTTCAGGACCGGGCCGATTTGTAATGTGACCTACTCAACGTAGCACCTGGCGGCCTAGTCATGCTAGCCTTTCACATTTTATAGCCATTACACTGGCACCTTTTCGCAATGTTGTCTTATTGTCATCATTTAGTGGATCGATCATTCTTTCTAAGGAGCGTCTCACTTGATTTACCCTTATTAGAGCATCCACATCAATGAACCCCCTCTTGGGATTCATTAAATCATTTTTTTATTATTAAAAATTTTATGTTTGATTTTTGATTTTTCTTTTTTTTAAAAAAAAAAAAAAAAATCTAGACCAATCCTGAGTCGCCACGTGTTGAACCTCAGGAGAGAGGGGTTCACCGGGGTAAACTTTAGGAGAGAGGGGTTCATAGGTTTTTGTTATTTTATTATTTTTTTTTCTTGATTTCCGTGTGAACTCCCCCCATGAACTTTCAATGGGGGTGCTCTAAAGGACCTTAAGGTAAAATAGTTTCGCTCAAAAGAAAAGAAGGTAAAAAATAGTTAAAACTTATATTATTAAAATACCACTGAACATTTTAAAACTATACCAAAAGCTGGTTGACTGCCGACTGGTAGTGTGATCTGAGAGTATCTGATGCATGCACTAGTTCTTGTTTTATAGAAATAGAAATTTGACGCACGTTTTTATGTACGACCGACCAAATGACTCACGTCAATCGATGGTTGTCAAGAAAACACGATTATGCAAAGTTCCTGAAAGGCTGAAACCACACAAATGGAGGAGGAACATAAGACTAATAAACAAAAGACATCTATTTGAACTTTTTCTATCGGACGGTTTCAACAAGAGCCGCAACTTCTACAGTAACTACAAAATTATTTATAATTTTGCTTTATGGTTGTCAAACGAATTAAAATATGATGTTCGAATGTTAAGTACATGTACCTTAATATTTTTGGTAAATACAACTTCGCATTGTTCTTTAAAAGAATGTGTCGCTATTTAATAGTTCTGTAAGAGATTGTTGAGATATAGTCTTCGTATACATATATATGCTAAATATATTACAATTTTTTATTTATTTTAGGGGTAATATGCAAATCTATTAAAAATTTTAGAACTATTTTTTTGTAACACTAATTTAAGAACTACTCCAAACACAAACTTCATATGTTTCTGAATTTTAAAATTTTTGAAAAATAAAACAACAAACATTATATTTTTTCCATGTTTCATTTATTCCTATGGTACATAAGCATTTCTAGCCTTGTCACTTTTTTTAAAGAAAAATTTGGGAACCGATAACAAATGTTTTATTTATTATGGTCCATAGCGGTCCTGGGTACAAACTAGTTTGGAAGTAGTTTACAACATTTCAAAGAAGCATGATCTACACATCTTGCTTATCTAAGATTCAGAAACAAGTTGTATTTTAGTTACGTTCTTGGCCAAAAAAATAATCGAAGAGTAGGCAAATTCTTAGATTTCTTTATAAAAATTCAAGTGGTCATGGGTTCATTTCCCGTTTTAGGGGTCTTCTCTTCTAAAAAATAAATAACTTAAAGTGGTTGTAGACTTGCCCTATAAAATCTACAGACTTTCAAACCATGAACTTCCAAACATTTTCATAAAAAAATCGGTATGAAGTTTTTCGCTTTCTAATCAATCGCTCACCAGAAAGCAAAGATGAGAAAAGCTCTGTTCAATCTTTCTAGAATAGTTCTCCTTTTTTACTTCTATTCTTGTAAAACACAATAAAGGTACTTAGAACACATCCTCAAGAAATAAATTGGTCAAATAATGTGAAGCTCCAAAACCCAAACTAATATATGAATACAGTGGACTATATATAAAACGGTAACGGGGAATTCATGACAGAGGATTTGCTTTGTTCTTGAAAGGATCTCCTTTACCAAGAGGGTTCTTTTAAAAGTAGAGAAGCAAAATAAAAAGGAACTATGGAGTATGGAAAGATATCATCGTATTTTTATCCAAAGCATATTATAATGTATAGTATCTTCTCAAGAGATAAAATATACATTATGTATCTGATACGCAATGGATATGGAGACTTTAAATAATAAGAAGAGTAGTTGCAGTGTGAGCAGGTGCACATCAAAAGCAAAGAGCCCACAAGCGACCATGACCAGATCAGTGGATGAGATTTGATAATTTATCTTTCGTGTATCCGAATCTTAGGACACGGTCGGTTAGGCTTCCACGTCCTCAAATGTCAAATAGATACATCATACATCCTTCAGTTTCTCCCACGTTGACGTTGGTAAGATCATATGGGCGAATGTAGGTAAGGACAATTTTTTTTTTTACTTCCTTCAGTTTCAATATGTTTTTTTGTCGATTTGACATTTATATGCACAATCTCTCCTTCTTCTTTTTAACCCTGATATTTGATGTTAAAAAGAATGAATTTGTGTAACAGATGTCTCCTTAAGAGTATGAGCTGACTAAGATTAATAGGAAAAACATTCAAAATTTGATATTTGGTTTCTTCTAGAAAACTAATCAACATTAAATATTTTATAAGTATTTTTACAATTTATAAATCTAAGCTCATTTAGTTTTCATAAAACCACTGTTTATTTAATAATTGTTTAGTGCTTTTTATGCTGTTTAATTTTCTAATTAATATAGGTCAATAGTTGGATCAGTTTATCTCCTATATATTTCTCTGGAATAGTTAATATAAACTGTTTTTTTTTTTAATATAAACTGTTTTTTTTTAAATATAAACTGTTTTTTTTTTAATTTCATTTATAAAAAAATAGTTTTGTAAAAAATCAAAACATGCAGCTTAGTGGATTACCTTAGTATAGCTATTGTATAACTATCCAAATTCAGTTCTGTATATGCATATAGTTTGACCAATTTTTTTTTTATTTTCTTCTAAAATGAATGAGTGTTTGCACACCATTGAGTCGACACCTAGTTTCTTGAAAGCAGTAAAACTCTCTACCAATTAAATCAAATCTAAAATGTTTTTAAGAAGGGCCAAGGACTCAAGAGTCAAGGCCGAGATAGGAGGCTCATCCACCCCCCCAAAAAAAAAGTTTTAGCTAAAAACCAAATTTTCGTAAAAACAAAATGTTAAAAGGTAATTCTGGAAGCTGCATTATTTGGTCTTCCTAATTAGTATTTATATATTAAAAAGAATGGTCCTCCCTCTCACCTAAGGAGACAGACAGAACCATTTGTTTCTTTAGGCACCATTCTTCACAATATAAAAAAGCTTACCAGTAAACAATACAAGAAATTAAACTATTATTGGACATACCACAAAATTCTAAGGAGATTTGGCATTGTTAAAGCTCAAAGTGTCAAACTATGGATCCATACCAGAGACAAAGACCGTTTGGGTCAGCCGGCGAAGGTGGCAGCAGCGGCGGCTCCGATATGCCCCGTGAGATGGTTGACAATAAGAAGAAAAAGAAGCTTCTCCACCGTGATATTGAACGCCAGAGAAGACAAGAGATGGCTACACTCTTTGCTTCGCTTCGTACTCACCTACCTCTCCAATACATTAAGGTTCATATTCTTACTCACTTTTTTCTCAAATATATTATTTTCCGGATAATATTTTTCTAACAAGAAACCAAGATTTGGTAGGATTTGGCTTTTAGGGTTATGACTATGTCTTTTCTTTTGCCTTGAATTTTTTAGGGGAAGAGAGCTGTTTCGGATCATGTAAACGGAGCGGTGAATTTCATTAAGGACACGGAAACACGGATTAAAGAACTTAGTGCAAGAAGAGACGAGCTAAGCAGAGAAACATGTCAGACATATAACTCGGGTCCAGATCCAGCAGGAACTACTGGATCCGAGTTAGGGAATTCGTATCCTGCGAGTGTGATGGTGCAACCATGCGTGAGCGGTTTCGAAGTGGCTGTGAGCAGCAACTCGTCAGGTCCCGAAGCTTTGCCACTCTCAAGAGTGCTTGAAGTACTTCAGGAGCAAGGGCTTGAAGTCATCAGCTCTCTCACCACTAGAGTCAATGAGAGGCTCATGCACAATATCCAAGTCGAGGTATGGTTAAAAGTCACAACATGCCATGTAAAATTGCAATTAGTCTAGGTGTTTCACTATATTTGACAATATTCAACACAGGTTAACAGTTTTGGATGCTTGGACTTAGCTTGGTTGCAGCAGAAGCTAGTTGAGGAGTTGATACTTTAGACGGGGTACTAATACTTTTAAGAATAATAACATTTCTCTTAGTCTTAAAGACTTCTTCATCAAATGATCTATATCTCTTCCGAAAACTCTTAGTCAAAGTGTTTTTGTAGATATCATTTGTTCGTTGCTCCAATAGTTTATTCTCTTGCTTTACATATATAATTAACTAAGATGATATCATTTCTAGTGCACCATATATTATATATGTATTTTCATGCATCTACAACCTAGTTGATGTTCTAACTAATTTCATGTATGCTAAATGCAGAAATATCTAAAGCTTTCATGAAACTTCATCTTGGGAGCAGGCCTTGAAATATATTTTTGGATGGATGCATAGCTTCAGTTTAAACAAGTTCTGGTGCTTACTGCAAAAAGGATTTTAAGGGTAGGTCATAATGTTCACCATCATTCAACGCAGACACCGTAAAGGCTGAGGCTGTGATGTTTGCAAGCAGTTTTTCGTCACAATTTAAGGTTTTTATTTCTTATATGTTTGCTTACATTTTGCTTCTATTCATCAGCTCCAGGATTCAGCTATCAGATTTCCCTTTCATTTTAAATAGCATATTTTGTATCATTTCATTGTTGTGTTTTCATGCGGGCTTTTAGTAGAATATAAGGTTTTATATAATATATTTATATATAATTGAAGAAGGAACACCCATCTGCGACATAGTGGGTTATCAAACTGTTAAGTTGCTAGCAATACAAACCCTATCGAGAAAGCCGATCGTTTGAGCAATTCAATAGTGACAAATAAATATCAGATAAGTGTATTGTATATTACGCATGCATACACACACGAATGAAAATGACATCGGGTATTTCCATTTTTCATATGACTAAATTAATACGTTAGTCAGTATACGTGTAAAATCCCATAAGCACCAGGCCTCACACCATCATATGACAACGTAAATGACATCACAAATGTACATCTAGAATCACATGACCTCTCGTCAAACATAGATCGGTCATATATCCGTTCATCTATTCAGTAAATTCGGTGAGTCACTCGAATATAAGTTGACAAAACAAAACTTGAATATAAGATATACCTAGAAACATACTACAGTATCATATTAGGGAGGCCAAGAATGTTGCATGACATTGTCATGCAAGCAAAAATGGGACAATCCACTGTAATATTGCTCACTTACACATTGAGCAAACAAATTATTAAACGCTTATGATCACACGATGATTGATCCAAAAAGAAAGAAGCATATTGACATAAAGAAAACGCCTAAATTCAAAGCATATCACCTTTCTGTTTATGAATCTTCATATTAATTTGTTATTCGAGGATTTGAAATATTATTATAATTTAAGAAACTATAAAAGATTGTCTAATATACAATCACAAAATCTTTCTTTCTTTTGTAATTCACGATACGACACAATATTATACATAGCACATATCCCCCAAATCTTGGTATCTTTTGCCTCCTCTTTTCCTACGTACATACCCAAAAGCATATAAATAGAATCACATATAACTATAATAAATTTAGATATAATCAATATCCACTTAATTTATATGTCTCACGAACTTAAGCCAAGTTGACAGCAGTTCAAATGTTTATGCACTTAAGAGATACGCATTATGAGTTGTTGAGATCTCCTCTATCTTCATTTGATTGTTTAGCTACATCATTATTGGCAATGTAATGAATTATTAATCCAATTTGAGATGCCGTCCAACAGACTCATAATCATCAAATCAGATTGTGTTCCAATAAAGATTGTGTCAGATGTTTAATTTATCAATTTTCAATAGTTTATTTATAATATTAAACGTTTTAAAGCCATATTTGTTCCATCCACTATATAGACAAACCAATAACAACCGTAGAAAAATACAAACATTAGTTCCATCTTATATCACTTCAAAATACAAATTACATGGCTTACATGACTCGATCACAACTTTGATAGCATTTTAATTTTGAATATTAAATCACAGTATTGTTTTATAAGATTTCATACAAACAGAATAATATGTTTCCAATTGGTTAATTAATTTGATGAATAATTAATCTTGTACACGGATCTAATGGTGAACTACAATAAGTAAGAGCAAGATCTGAGACAGCCAAGGCAATACGTGTAAGATGTTTTCTTATAAGCTTGTAACTTATGTGTTGACCAAAACTTATTTTATTTGTGTGTGTGTGTCCGTGTAGGGTTTAATTTTGGCTCATAAGTCATAACTTTATGATACTGATTTGTAGCCAAACATATCCTCGTGTACTTCTCCATCAGTTGGTGTCAGGTCCAAGAGATTCAGATATGGAATGATTCGATTTTCTGTGTGATTCAATAATCACTGGACTATCATACGGTCTCTTACCTACTCAATCAATGGTTTTTAGATGAACAATCGGCATCTCTGTATATATATATGATTCTAAAAGGTTTATTAGAACAAGTAATAAACCAGACATGTCTAACTAGTTTTATATTCCATGTATTATTTTGTGTCAAGTCTATATATACAATTATGTCATTTAGTTATTATCTTCAAATTAAATTCTATATAAGATAATCTTATCGTGTTCCAAAAATAGCTACATGTGATCGCATGAGCAAGCGTTAGCATATGTATGAGAAGATATATCCAAAACTTCGCAGAAATATATCTATGTATAGGTTCAAAACTAATACGGACGATAATATTAGAAAATTTGGGCCATTAATAGAACCCTATTAAAGATCTACGTCCACATCAAAAGGTTGTATATTGTGTAACGGGCCGAACGATTATCAAGTCAATATTGTAGCCCAGTGATTTTTTACTAATTTTGTTGAAAATAGTTACAATATAGCCACATGATCATGTAGCCCGTTCATTCTAAATTTCTAATATCTATCACTGATTAATCTGCTATAATATCTACTAGACACAGAGATTGACCTTCTCATCGTTATATATTTTATATGCATCATTATATAATTAATTAAATACTTTTAAGTCTTATACTTCATAGCTGAACCCGAATTACATCAAAAAAAAATATTTTTGATTATTTAATTATTTTTAGTCTCGATTCCAAATACATGAATCGGTTAATATTGCAAGAAATAAAATGATTACTTAAAAAATATAATAAATAAAATAATTATTTAAAAAATAATAATAAATGACATTATTAGAATTAACTAAAATGAAGTGAAAATTTGTTAAAAAATACTGAAAAACAAGTATTGTTTTGAAATTCTGTTTTAATAGAATAAATAGAATTTGACTACAAACTCACCACTAATTATCTATTACTCCCTCTTTTCAACAGGTTTTATGTTTTAATTTTTATACATATTAAAAAAATATATAAAAATTTAATTGTCAATATATCATTTTTTGTAGCTAGTAATTTCTTATAATTTTTAACCAATCAATTTTTTATAATACAATTAATTTTTTTGAAATTTACAATTAATCATTAATTAATACATTGAAAATATAAAAAATGTATTTTTTTGAAATAAATATTTTTTCTAAAATATGAATCTTATTGATATTGATAACAGAGGGATTAATTATTACCCTCGAGAACTCATAATTAATATACCTTTCAATGTTTTCTTGAACGAGTCGCTCGTGTCGAGTTGGTGTCACAGTTTCTGTAGGCAAATCATATTCACTTTTCAGAGTGTTTAGTCATTAATTTCAAGGTTGACCCTACAATTTTCATGGCTAACCGTATCAGTGGCCCATAAAAGGATTAATGTCCATGACTATCATATAAAGTTATTAATTTTTGATTGACGCCAGACTTCATTATATATTTTCGTGTACACCTTATAAAATTCCAACCTCAGATAGTGAATGTTCATTCGTAAAAACCATCACATAATCCATTTTTGATAAAAGATTAAATTGGGTGATGATATAGATTGATTTCTATCGAGTTCGTAGATGGTGGAATATGTGTTTGAGTTTGCTCAAAGTTAACATCTTACTTAGGCGAGTACTCATTGTCTTTACGCCATATGTGTACGGCTAAGGTGGTAACATTCCTCGTGCCTCGTGCGGTTATGGTCTATTCACTTAAACTGAACTAGAGATGCAGACAGTTAATTATCCGGTTTTCTTAGTTTTCAGTTATCAACAGATTATCAGCTAAAATAATCCTTCACCTTCCCGGTTAATGATTTTGGCTGATCAAGCATCATGTGTATAATGGATTCTTAAAGTTCTTAACAAGTACAACTGCAAAAACATACATTCCCAACAATTACTTTGAATCATCTACTACTTTTGTATTCGTTCCTGTGATCTGGTTACCAGACATGTATAGTGCTGTAATTGTCTCTCATAAATATATCAAGATTTTAAATGCTACTGACGAGTAAGAGAGGACCGGAAGAAAGAGAAGAAGACCAAGTCCTTGTGTAAAAATGATCTTCTAGTTAATTATACTTAACTGTAGATTACACTTTACCTTATCCGTGCATGCATGTGTTTCATTCGCCAGCTAACTCTAATAAATCCTAGTCTACTATTAGCATACTCATTATATAATACAAGATTCATAATATTCTAAACATTGAAATGTATATGTCATAAGAATCCAATCAGGATCATGCGTCCATTTCAATCAAACATTTTTTTATATACAAGATTTTGTTTTGTTTCTTTTAAAAGAATGGGGTGAGCTGGAGAAGAAGACAAAGCAGAGGAAAGCTAATCCATTAAGTGAATGGATTTGAATAGATAGAGCAACATGGATCCGCCTTACTTTGAATCATTGAAATGGTATTGCCTTTTGCTTCCTTCCTTTTTAACTTTTTTTTTGTCTGTTTTTGCCTTTATATTATTCTTCTCAATTTTTGTTATGGAGAAACTTCTATTAAGTAGAGTCATGTTCTTCTTAATCTTTGGAATTTGTGCAGACTAATCTAACATGTTAATGTAACATGTTCCAAAAGAACTTGCATCACGTTTCTTTACAAAACAACTTAAACATCCAATTTTAAGAGAAGTCTGTAAATATTTACCATGTAACATATTCGGGCCGACCCTATCAAATATCAGACCTGACTGGCAAACAAGTTGACTTCATCAAATCTTGATATTTTCTAGACTAATCGTTTAATTGACCTGATCTGAAATTCATAAGAGAGTTACATCTCTTAAATATAGTTCCAAGAACTTTTAAAAAGATCAAATGGTGAGAAGATTGAAATCATTGTCGAGATCTCCTATGCCCATATATAGTTATGTCTCTCGACGTCTTAATCTCATTTTCGCCATGTTTTCATACTCTTTTGCTTTAAACGATTAGTGGACTAAGAGGAAGTTTTGGAAGAGTGTGAAGCTAATGCATGTAATTCCCTAAAAGGTTTCTGCTCAAAATTATTTTGATTAGCGGCGACCATTAATAAACAACATCAACGTAAAAACAAGCTTACCCATGCGTTGCATGTATATTTTGAATTTTCTCACTGTAAACTAGAGTCAGTGATTTTTTCTGGGTGTACTATTTATTAAATAGATGAAAGTAAATAAATGCAATTACTTTAAACTACAGATTAGAGAACGCAATTCCATCTATCACTTCGTAGTCTTAATTATGGTTGTATGAAAGAAAGCATTTTTAGTTAGGTTATGGTGGCCCATATGTTTTGTTTTTTCTGATGAAAC